CGATAGGTAGAGTGATGTCGCATTTCAATAAAGTCGATACGCACATACCACCAAGAAATGAAAGTTCGGTTTCTAGATGAAGCAGACCATAGCCAGTCGTTTGGGATTTACTCAACTCTTCGGCTTCGTATCCAATCACTAGACATCGAAATCCGTATCGAGAAGCCTTATCATTTTTCATGTAGTCTGAAGCCGTTTCCATAGAAAACATTACCTCGTTTCCTGTTAAAAGATATGATGGCGTCAACAAAAAATTTAGTAAAAGTACAAATTACTTACCAGGCAACATAATAGCAGCGAAAGGCCATTCTAAGGGATCATTACTGAATTTTTTTAACACCGGTATGTACGGTGTAGTTCCCACTCTTTTGTTGTCGTCATCTGTATTAATGTCTCTATAGTTGGGAATGTAAAGTTGTAAATAGTCTTCTATCTGAGCCGTACAACTACGTGGATCAAACTCCAAACATAACCACTTGACCTCATTTGGAAATTTTACTCTAAACACCACAATTTTAGTTTTGTTTAATTTAATGTAAAGTTACAATTATAAACGTCAGTCAACATACTTGTAATTCGATACGGTGGCGGCTTTGTAAGGATGATTGCTTTCTACCCAAGCATAATGATGAGAAGTAGTCATGCCTTTAAGATCCTTGATTTCGCTTGTCTGTTGTTTTGACTTTATTATTTGTTTTGGACTGTTGTCTAATTTATCGTACAAATCTTTATGCAAGACGTCTAACTTGTCAGCGGCAAATAAATTTAGAGATGTCACAGCTGGTAACAACTCTCTAATTAGATCTAAAACGTGGATAGCGCTCTGTAAAAAACATACGACAATAAAATATACTTTAATCACGATTTTAAAGTATTAATGATTATCATTATATATTAATATATTAGTGTAATTATATAATATTAAATTATTATGATTTTTAATTAAAATTAAAATCATTTTTATACCTTGGCATCTTTTGAAAATGAAGTTAATGGTCCAATGTGTGCTAACACTAGAGGTAAAAGAATATTTACCATCGCTGATTCTCCTAAGTATTTATATACAAGATGATCTTTTTTTATTTTTACACTTCCGATATTCAATAGCTCTAATAACTTTTTTACGATAGTAGTCAGTATACCTAAAGTATTTTTTCGAATTTTTAGTTTATTACAAATTTTCTTTTCATAATCGCAATTCTTATCGTGGTTATTACTAAAAATGCATACATGAAAGTCTAAGTTAAACAAAATCTTATGACGAAATTTTTGTATAAGATATTTCTACTTACCTATAATATAAGATGTAAGGAATTTGACCGCGAGACTGAGTAGTTCCATTCAAACTTAAGGAACATGTGTTGAAAGAAAACTGGGTGTTATCTTGTCCTTTGACACAACTCAATCCCATGTCGCCATTATTTGTTCGACCTCCATAATTTCTCAAACGAATGGCATACTTAACTCTTTCCTGTAAAAATCAACTCATTAATTTGTACCAATAAATAAGGTTTTAGATATGTAAACACTTATTACTTTTATTCTTATCGGATAATCGAATTTCACATCTACAACATAATTTATTGCACTATCATCAGGTCCAAAAGATCCTCGCGTTACAATTAAACTTTTCCATCGATTTCCATGAGGTTCATCAAACTCCAATTGATTTTTCTATACAAATAATGGTTGGAAAATATTTAATTTAGTTAGTAATTTGATATAAATTTACTTACTTCAGTAAGCAATTCAAGTTCATATTCATATGTACCAACGCCACCAAAAACTCCACAACCCGCTATTGCTATATCAGAACGATCTACCCAAAAGCAAATAGCATCAGGTGATCCATTACCAGCATTCCAAGTTTTGGTTTGGTTAATTTTGGCGAATCTTGAAGGTGTAGTCAAAAGTATTTCCCTTTCGTTAGCTATTTCCATCCCATCCTATGATGTTATAAAAACGTTTAAAATTATTTTAATAACGTAGGACTGAATTATCATTGGAAGAGCTAATTAATTAACTAAGTTTTTACCTCTGGTAGTATAGCTTGAGATGACAGTTCGGCGACAACTCTAGCAACTAAATGCGAACAATTAGCTGCAAGCATTTTCATATCATTTTCTGGTTTTTTACCATTTAATATGGAATTTCGAACTGGTGTAACTACTATTTCGAGAAGTTGAGAGAGTAAAACGTCCCAGTTTGGTTCATTTTTAAAATTATGTTTAAGCGTAATTGTAGCTGCATTGACTAAAATCGGGTAATAGTGTTGATAATCTAAATTATCTGATATATCAGAATTTTCATTTGAACTGATTGACTTTAATATAGGTATTAATTCTCGAAGTCGGAACGTTGTTGTGCAAAGTGCGGCCACTATTGCAGTAAGAAGTTTATTCCTATGAAAATTCTAAAAATAAAAATTTTAAATAATAATAAGAAAATTTGTAAACAAATTATTGAATAAATTTAATACCTGTTTTCTATTTAAGTGTTCCCAAAGAGAATTCAACTTTAAACGTGGAGTCGGGTAAAACGCATGATATAATGATACAAATGTAACATGACATTCATCTAAAATTTGATTTAGACATTTCATAGATCTCATCATTTTTATGACGTCATTACCTAAAACATAGTAAAATATGTACTTCGTATTTTAAATCATTTAACGCAACATTATTTATTATTCAAATATAACAAAATTCACTTCGAGACAATTTAAATAAATTTTTAAATAGACTAAATTCATATATGTAACCATACAATACGCCTATAAAAATATATTAACTAATAAGTTTTAAATCAATATTCAATCATCATCATCTCCTCAAATAGTTATGGAAGATATATCACAACTATCTGAGGTCGTCTCTACCTTACGATTTGACAGAATTTTTACACCGGCTATCGAACCTCATTAAAGCTATAGTCAGTAATACCAGTAATATTCAACTATGCATTAAAAACGAAATAATTAATATGCTATTAATTATTTATATATATATATATATTTTTTTTTTTAGTTTTATTAATCTTAAAATTAAAATATTGATAATAAGATGGCCTGTATAGCTCAGTTATTAAAATAAATTATATTTTTAGTCTATACAGTAAAAGTTGAAGTTATTTCAGTCTAAATACAAAAGTATACAATATGATTTATTAATGATTACAATTATAAAACTACATGTACCATATGTTTTTTTTATAAAATTTTACAAATCCAAATGTTATTTATTTTTATGAACTTAAGTTAATATCCTATTTAATGTAATAAAAATTTATTTTTAAAGGTAGATTTTAAGAATAAATCAAAAGTTAAATGGGAACCTATTTTTTAAATTGAATTGAAAAATAAAATTTTAACTAGTTTATAACCAGATTTGTATTATTACTTTTAAAGTAATTATACTTTTCAGTTAAAGGCAAGAATGAAACGCAATATAGAAGATTTCTTCTGTGATTTATGGTAAAAATAGAGCATCACCTATCACTTCTACGCTCCTCATTTTTTTAAATCTTTAAATACTAATATCTCAAAAATAGTAAAAATCTGATAACTCACTAGTTATGCCAATTATAAGTCACAGAACTATGTATCTATACCATAAACTATGTCTCATGAAATATATTCAAAAATATAAAATAATCTATAATTTTTTATTTTCAAAAACAAATAAAACTGTACATATTACTAATTGAGAAAAAATAATTTGATTTTACCCTATCTCTAACCCCTTAAGTAAATAACCACTTAATTAAAAAAATGTCTGGTTGATAACAACTTTTGAACCAGTATTTTTGTAGATATTAACATTTTAAAATGAAATTTTAATTGAGGAATCATGACTATTTTTATTATTAGGAATTCTGCGCTACATAGTCATTTATCTTGGTATAAAAATATAAATATCTTTTAAATTAATAGTTCAGTTATATTCTTAATATTAAATATTATGCAGTTATAATCCATAGTCCATGTTAAAAATAATTAAATTTGTATATTTATAATTAAAAACTTCTAGTTGTTATAGATTTATTAAGAGATAAAAAATAGGAATAAAACGCATTTGTTTGGCATATTAAAATCTATACATTTTTCAAAAGATATATTAGTACATTTTTTTTTGAAGAATAAGATATTATGTTAGTTAACAATATCATTCACCTAATACAATAAATCTAGATTGCATTGTAACTATAAATTATTATACATTCATTATATGTACAAATTTTTTAAGCATAAAAATAGAATATATTCATTAATATATAACAGCTTAGAAAGTATTATGATAAGTATAATTATTTAATAAAATTTAGAAATGAATTTTAAACATATATATCAGAGTAGTTACATGTTTGTATGCAATATTAAAGTTTATCCTTTCCATATTTTATCAGAATTTTAAGAGTTTAAATCCTAACTCAAGTTTGTGCCAAAAAAACATAGATTGATATATTTCACCTAATAAAATTAACTAATACGACTAATAAACTAATAAACTTAATAGAATTAACCATATGATTTTTTTATTGTAGATCAACAATAGTAGCATGTTAATTTTTATTTAAATTTCTGTAGAGAATCAAAGAAGTTTTATTTTTCAATTTTTATGCTTTTCCGAAAAATAGACTGAATATGACATACGATAGTCTAGTTCTGTGGTACAGATTTTATAAAATGGNTAGTCTAGTTCTGAGGTACAGATTTTATAAAATGGTTAATACCAACCTTTATTTTCCAAAAATATTCGTTCAGTTTTTAATATTTCATTTGGACGAGTATCTGATAAAATATTTTGTAATAATTGTCGTACTTCTACAATACTTTCAGCCAGCAATTCATTTTCAACTAATTTAATTTTGTCAACTTATAAAATTAAAAATACAATTAATTTATTAAAAATTATCAACAATTTTATTATTTATACCTTACCTTGATCAGGGTATATTTCATAAATGTAAGACTTTAATAAATGAAAACACGCTTGACTTATATAAGTCAAGCGTTTAAGTTCACATAGAGCTGTAAGGTCCGTTTTTGTCATATTTCCAAAATATGTTTGCTGATTGTATGGAAGACATATTTCTGATATGATTTGAATTATTGTTGTCCAAGACCATTGTAATAACTTTATTAAAGAATTAAAACATTCCTAAAAGTTTAATCAAATACAGCATTAAAATAAAAATGTTTTAATAGAAATTCATCATGTTAAATTTTACTTTTAAGAAATTTTTAGACACAATTTTTTAAAAATAGTGTTTTTAAATACTCATATGATATTGTTAGTCATAATAATCTTGTTGTTTTATTACAGCTATAAATAGATATTATAGAGATTGTATAATTATACATTGCTTTATTCGACAGAAAAAACAAAAATTACCTAGTAATTTAATAAAAGTTTTACACAAAGTTATAGTCTATAGATAGGCGGCAATCATTGATTATAGTTTATTGGATGCTTTTGAAGAAAAAAAGATGATTAAGACATATTGAAAATATTTCTGCCTATGAGACCTAATAGTCTGGGTGACTTTCTCCCTCTGATATATTTAACATAGAATCTTCTTTAAAAACCATAGAGAATATAATTTTTTTTTGATAAATCATTAAAAATACTACAAAAATAAATATTGTTTGATTATTAATTCGTTTGAGTGAATTGATATATTCCCTAAGAAATAAGCCTAAATATGATTTTTAATGCATAGTGTGAATGAATAAAATGTAAAAAGTACTTTTAATAACTTAAATTTCTTTAATACCTTGTTAACATTGCGTGAAAAAAATTCACTCAACATATGAGTATCACTATTTGCTGTATGAATAGTTGATATTGACAATGAATCAGGAATAATAGTTCTATATAAAATTTCTGGTATTTGACCGGCATTTATATCAGTTCCATTGTTTGATTTACGAGAGGATTTAAATGTGAAGGTTATTCTAAAATAAACAATGAATAATATTTGAAACATTTTTAACTAAAACATGTACAATTATTAATAATTGAAAATAATTTACTGTTCATCACTAGTAATGCTACACATGCCACTAGAGCCACAGTCACTTGATGGTCCATTAATTCTTGCACAAGCTACATACCAACGGTTTGCCTATAATTATGAATATGTATATTTATTTATTGATAAATATAATATAATATCAAGGCTATTATGTTTGAAATATCATTTTTGATATTTTCTAGTGTCATATATTTCTTGATTTATTAGTTATTAATTACATTTTAATTCATCTATTATACCTTAAAAGGATGTCAATTTTATTTTTTATTTTTAAGTGACATATTTTTACAAGCTTATTAAATAAAAAATGATCTAATTAAGAATGTGACTGGTAGATAAAAACTTTAGGATTAGTATTTCAATGTTATTAATATTTTTCCACTCCCACTATTATAATTAGGAGGGATGAAAAATGTCTAATGATGAAAATTGCCATACTTGCACCTAACCTCCAGTCTACATTTCTAAGGTATAAGGAATGATTAAAAAAAGTAATTAATAACTGTTAATTCAAGAAATATATGATATTAAAAATTATCAAATAATTTTCTTAACATAATTAATATTTTAAAAGAAATTAAGTGTCTGTTATAAAAAGAATCACAGTGTACTTTCAGTTTCTACAATCAAAAATATTTGATGACTAAATAGTAGATTAATAAGTAAAAATTTTGTTTAGTTCAAATGGGCAGGTATATTATAAATGTTTATAATATAAAAACATATCTAAAAATTAAATTTTTTTTTCTTTTTGAAAAAATATTGTTTCTAATATCTTACATAAAGGACTACAGGTTCATCAAATATTACTGGATGTTTTTGTCTAGGAGCACATTCATAGGTAAGCTCATCAGTTTCTGTCATCAACTCGCCTTCTGATTCCTGATCACCACCATCCAAACCAATATCATACAACTAAATGAAAATTATATTGACCAATTACTTAATTATATGAACTTATAATAATGAAATATATTACCTTTAGTTTTACTGTGTATTCACCCCTTCCTCCAAACAAACCAAATCCAACCAATAGTATATTGCAATCAACGGAGAAACGAATAGCCTCAACTGAATGACCAGAGTAACCCCAACCTCCACCTAGGCCTGGAAATAACAATAAAAATAAAAATATTGAATATTTCTTATGAAATATAATGTATAAAAAAAATACTCATCATTTATTACCAGTTGTAATAAAATATTACCTTAATACAATAAAAAAACCAAAACAAAACATATATGATGGACAAAAATGAATAAAAAAATTGTTTGAACTAAAAGATAAATGTAAATTTATTTAGAATAGAATAATTTTAGGGAGAAATTTAAGTTAAGTATTTTTATAATAAGAATCTTAGTTTATTGTTTTCTTTCAATCAAACATACATAGTTTTGACTTAACCCAAATCAAAACCTAGTTTTATTGATATTTCATCAGGAGTCATTAAAATTTTATTAATACAAATTTGTATACAAACTTGCAAATCTATTTATGTGCGAGTAATCTTTCTTTGATTCATTTACAGTTGTTATATTTGATGTGTTATATTGTGATGATGACATGCCATTAGAAAACATACATGAATTTTGCCCTAATATATCCATACATGTTAATAAATTAATTAAAAGTTGAATTCTAGAAATGGATATTCCAGCAGTTGGAGGTAATGCCAATTCATAACTTAATGAAGTACAACTATTACAGTACTTTTTGCTTAAATTATTAACATTGTAACATGTTACAGTAGCTTTTTCGTTAGACTCATTTAAACTGCAACAATTTCAATTTAGAACTAGCAAAATTAATAGTTCTTATAAAAATATTTTAAATATTTATCAGTTTTATTATAATATCAAATTTTACAACTTTAAATAAATCTTACTGCCATAAATTATTATATAATGTATCAAAACACCAAATTCCATTGTTATTTTCATTAAATTGTACTTGATTATTTCCCGAATGACTATTGCATGTACCATCTTGCTTATTGATAGCCAGGCATTTATTTGTTGTCATCACCACTAATAGTAAAACATAACATAATGTAAAATGTTGTGTAAGTATTTGTTTACTTAATATTAACACAAAATATCTAATAGATAACATAACACATTAAAAGGGAAATAGCCCATTGTTTTTTGAATTAATAATAAAGTACATAATTATTTCTAAGTAATAATTATGTCATTTATATTGTAATATAGTTACAAAATAATGAGTTTTATTTATTTAATAATTAATGATTAAAATATTCATTAATATTTATTTTGAAATTTAAGTAATTATTATTAAAATTATTTTCATTATAGAAATTTAGCTCATTGAATTCAAATTTATATAAAACAAATGTAAAACACTACATTTTCAGAAGAGCAAAAAATTGAATATTGTTCTAAAAATAACATCAAATAAAAAATAAAGTTATTTATTATTTTTTTTCTTTACACATTTAAAAAGCTGTATATAAAAGAAAAATAGAAATGATCTTTTAATTTTATATCCAACTACATTAATTATTTATTGCTTGATCTACTGTTATTAAAAAATCATATTGTAAAAATTATAGGTATTTTAAAAAACAATGCAGAATATATTTTTTGATCATACATTATATTATTATCACTTTGTTTTAGAAGATATTGCCGCCTTTAATTGAAAAATAAAAATGTTTAATTAGGTAAAATTATTACTTACAAATTGTATCATTGTTAGCAACAATAGATAATATTTTGCTGTTTATTAGAGCTTCATCAACTTTTACAATAGTCTGATCACCACAACACATTACTTGTTTTGCTTTTCTTGTATGAGGAGGATTTATATCATCCACACTTAAGGGTACATGATTACATCCACTATCACGACCCAGTTGACTTTTCTAAAAATTATTAAAAATCCAATTATAATAACAATAAACTGTTATTATGATTAATATATAAATTTACTAGGTAACTCCCAAAAGTGTAAAGTTTTCCATCCTTTGATACTAATGCAGTGTGATTACTGCCCGCAGATGCACATATAATAGGATATTTTAAACGTGGTATTTTTAATATAGTTGGACCTTTTTTACTAATAGTTAAACTGCACCCAAGTTGTCCATTTGAATTACTCCCAAAAGTAATAATTTCACCATTATTTAGTAATAAAACTAAAATTAAAAATATATAATGTAAACAAAGTTTTATTGAAAGTTATTTTTATGTTTTTTGATTACCTGTATGATGAAGGCCACAAGTTATTTGAACAACTGGGCAGTCTGAAGGTAAGAATATACGAGCTGGAGGTAAGGATGTTACTCTAGTACTATCTCGTTCAACATCACTACCAGGATTACTAATAGTATCATCTAAATGTAAAAAAAAATATATACATATATATTTTAAACCTTTTTAATTTAAAATGAATTACCCATAAAGTTTCTGGGTACAAGACTGTTTTGGCCTTGAAAACGGATATTAGTATTATTAGCTGACTGAATACCAATATTAGAATCATATTCTTTTACAGAATCATTTTGAAGTAAATGAAAATTCTGTTCCTGCTCTCTTTTATTCAAATGTGTTTTTAGGTGATCTCCTAATTTTGCTTCTTGTTGAGTTTTTACTATATAATTTATATAAATTATTTATGTTAAGATAAATAATTTGTAAATAATGTGAGGCATTGTTCATAAAATAAACTTTTTATCATTTTAGTGAATGATAAATGATCTTACCTCCAATACCAAAAATTAAATCAAGTCTCATCATTCCTGCTATATCTCCAGTACCATTTGGTCCCAGTATCGCAAGTTCTGAATTATCTTCCACTTCATGAGCGCATACACGGCAACAACCACAAATGGAGCATCCAGAATCACCCTCTCCACAGCCACATTCACTAAGTAAAATATTAAAAAAAATATCTTAAATGATTTTTTAAGCAGGGATTTAAATTAATAAAATTAAAAATAAATAAAATTAGCCTCTCATTTAATAAACTTTTGTTTAACGTGTAACAAAACTTACTGGCCAGGTTTTCGATTTGACCGTATGCTACTTAAACAACTGATGCTATATCCTGTACATTCTCTACACACAGTGCAAATCATACAAACTTCATGTTTCCAAATATGTTTTCCTGGTTCACATATATCTCCATTAAATTTATCATCATTCATACTACTTTGACCATTATAATTGTTTATCTGTTCTTCTGGTTCAATATTGGATTTATTAGGATAATCTAGGTAAAATAAAAATACAAAATGAAGCAATAACCTTTAAAAAAAAAATAATAATAATAATAATAATACTCACTATATTTACTAATTTGTGAACCACACATTTCTCTTCCACACTGTCCTTTATTATTAATTCCAAAACTGTAAACATGTCCTTTAACACTTAAAGCTATCGCATGAGCTTTACCTAATGCTATTTGAACAATTTTAGCATTTTTCAAATCTCTTACAAGACCTAATAGTGAAGTATTACTATTAAAGTACTTATTACAACAAATAAAATTAAAAATTCTATACCAGTATTCTGATCACAGTAAACTACATCTTTTCCAAACATATATAATAACCCATCTTTAGTTACAAGTGCTGTAGTCCCATTGTTACATGCCACATCAATTATAAATTGACCATCTAATTTAGTTATTTTTTTAGGTTTATTTATCCTGGGTTGCTTTTTATATCGCCCTTGATCACCATCTTCTCCACGCCTAGATATACCCAAAAAATATGCCGAACCCATATCACTTAGTATTACACAATGTAATCCATCATGCCCAGCAGATACTTTTACGATTTTACATAAATTAGGTAGAGTAAGCTCAGACCACAAAGAACTGTAACAGTTTATTGTATTTTGTCCATCATTTTTCAACCATTGTATTGCCTAGAATTTTATATATAAAAAAAATTAATTAGATAAAATGAATTTAATAAAAATATAACACTAATATCCTGCCTGTAATTGCACCAGTGTACTAATTTGTAGAAAACATTTATGATTTCAATCTAATAACACATTACAAAAAATATGTTTTATAATTACCTTTCCAGATTTAAGAGATATTATAAAACTATCTTTTAAAGAAGCAACAGAAACAACCTCTTCATCAGTAGCGTTGTTAATAGCACTTTCAGCTGTGATAGAATCCCAAAGTTCTGACACACCGTAAATTCTAACATTACGACGACTCAGCATCAAAGGGACTTCATTAACAAGTTTTCCAGAGCTAGGATCTATACTTTTTACTACATAGTTATTCTATTAAACAGTTATTAGAAGAAATAAATTTTTAAAAAATTAATTTAAACAGTTTATACTAAATATATAATTATATACTCACAACTGAATATTCTAAAAAGCATAATTTGTCTTTATCATTGAAAACAGGTTTACGAGATAAGTCTAATGTAACAGAAGCATCTATTTGTACACATCCTAATTTTTTAAAGGTATCTTTATCAAAGAATTCTATTTCTTGTATGGTTGATTGATTCATATTATGCACTCTTAGGTAAAGTAATTTCTTAGAAAAATAATAATTAGACATTTATTAACAAATTATATTAAATAATTTTTATGATATTAATTATTTAGCAAAAGTAAAATAAATAATTTTGTTAAATAAATGTCAAGTACTATTTTATTGAGGGAAATTAAGCATGTATTAAAAAAAAATAGTTAAATGAAATAAAATATTAAAAGCATATTATAGTAGAAATATAAAATAACACAATGTTTCTTTTATTTATTCTCAAATATTCAGTGTAAAACTTATAGAGAACTGAAAAGTAATTTTTAAAATTGCTTAATCATTTTTACTGAACATTTTATATGTCAACTAAGTATTTTCAAATAAATTGATTGAATCATCAAATTTTATAAACTTTTAAAATGTTATGAAAAATTTAGTCATTTAAAATTGTATAAAAGTATTACACACTTGATAAAATCCAAGGCAAACATCTGAAGAATTCAAAGAATAGTTAGTTGTTCGAGCAACTTTGACATAAGGATGACCACTTACTGTCCCACCAAATCCAGTTCCTATTTTGTGAAAACCGTACTCTGAATAAATGTATAAATAATCTCCATCAGAAGCTAAACCTTTAATACCTATATAAAATGTATACATAGGTTACAATAAATAATTTTTTTATTTAACTCATTTGTATAATTAAATTTATCATTGAAAAAAAAAATTATCACTAACTTTTAAGATAATTTAAATTCAAAGTAACTATTTCAGATGATTTTGGTATTCCATAATTAATCCAGTCAGGTATCTCATAGTCACCATGTGTAATAACACGAACACATTTTTGTAAATTGGTTAATACTTTTGGCAACTAGTATGGAAAAAAATTGATTACTATTGTTAACATAATTATTTAAATATTAACATATTTATTAGTTTAAAAAAATATCATTTCTTAATCCTTATTTTTACTATATTTATGTTTTACAAACAAATATGTACGTATGTTTATATTATTAACTGTAGCGAAATTTTTTGATTATAAATTATTATATTAAGACTAAATTGAAAATTGAAAATTTTTTCCTATTTTATGGTAGAATTCGATTAACTTAACTATAGACGTTTTTTGTAACGTCTCATTATTATAATTTTGCACAATACTTATGACCAAAACTTTTAAAAGTAAAAAAAAAACACAATTTTGATGAGGGTATTTGCTTGATGAAAAAAAAAAACACATTTTCTAAACTTTTTTAACATAAATTTAGAGATTTAACACCTATTCAAAACTTTATACTTAACTATAACTTACAATAATTTTTTTAGGAGAAGAATCTGGAGGACACATAATCAATGTTGTAAGTGTGTTTAAAATTTTACCGGTATCTCCTCGAACAATTACTAAACTTATAAGACAGGAACATGCTACTGCTTTAAAATTATAAGTACTATTATCATAGTTTCCAATAGCTAAGTCTAATAATAACTCATACAATGGATCTAAAAACATTAGTATTAAAATAATTTAATATTTTAAATGTATATTAAACTAATAAAGATTATTCACCTATGACTTCAAAAGGCTCGTCTTTTAAAGCTTCAGGTGACTGATATTGAATAATATCCAATAATGCCATTAAAGCTTTTGTACAAATATCAGGAGATGAAGTCCTACTTTCTTTTATTAATTCAAATACACTGCGCAGTCCAATACCAACAACCTGAAATAATAATAAATTATTCATCTATACATTAATGTTTATTCAAAATTTACTTTAGGAATTAATATTTCTGAAGACACATTTGGTGCATTCCCGAATGATTGTAGAGTCTTAGCAAGACATATTGGAGCTGATGAAGACATCCAGTATGCTTCATCAGATTTTTTAGCATATCTGTCAAACACAGCATAACGAGCTGCTGACAGAACTGCAAAAGACGATGCATTTTCAGAAAGATACATTGTCCATCCACCATCTTGCTGTAAATGCTGTAAGTCAATTTTAATTTCCTATTTAAAAAACCATCAAAGATATAATTTTTAAATTTCTTACTTTATAAACTTTTGAGCCCTTTTTAATTTTTTGGACATTTTTTTTATTGATTGGTTTCCTATTAACACAAACACTTTGTTAGTAAAAAAAAAATCAAATATCTGTTTAAAATAATCAAATTTCCTCACTTAGATACTTCTTGGGCTTCTTGAAAAAATCGTTTATACAGCAATTCAATTCCATCCACTTCAGGCAACATGATAACAGACGGTCAAGACATGGTATGATGTGTTACTGTTAGCTAAGAACAGCTTCGAAAATAAAAAATAAAATGTAAAAGAACAATTTAAGAATTCATAATATCGATTAGTTTTACCGGGTTCCCGGTTATCGAATTTCAAATTGGTGTTGATAAACAATGAAGTGCGAAGAAAGGGGCTTTGATAGTGGAACCGACCAATCGATAGAACTAGATCGATAACATACTAATGCCATCTACTANAAAAGACGATGCATTTTCAGAAAGATACATTGTCCATCCACCATCTTGCTGTAAATGCTGTAAGTCAATTTTAATTTCCTATTAAAAAAACCGTCAAAGATATAATTTTTAAATTTCTTACTTTATAAACTTTTGAGCCCTTTTTAATTTTTTGGACATTTTTTTTGTTGATTGGTTTCCTATTAACACAAACACTTTGTTAGTAAAAAAAAAATCAAATATCTGTTTAAAATAATCAAATTTCCTCACTTAGATACTTCTTGGGCTTCTTGAAAAAATCGTTTATACAGCAATTCAATTCCATCCACTTCAGGCAACATGATAACAGACAGTCAAGACATGGTATGATGTGTTACTGTTAGCTAAGAACAGTTTCGAAAATAAAAAATAAAATGTAAAAGAAACAATTTAAGAATTCATAATATCGATTAGTTTTACCGGGTTCACGGTTATCGAATTTCAAATTGGTGTTGATAAACAATGAAGTGCGAAGAAGGGGCTTTGATAGTGAAACCGACCAATCGATAGAACTAGATCGATAACATACTAATGCCATCTACTGGCAAATTAATAAAAACTACTTTGATTTTAAATTTAATGATAGAGAACACTATACGTATAATATTTACTACTTATACTGACACAAACTAGTATACTTACATAAAAACATAAAAAAACATTAATTATGAATAAAACTATCATTGCTTAATATTTTACAACCAGCGTAAAAATTTGGTTTCGCTATACTAATAAAATATCCGAAATATTTTGTCATGAATCGATATTTTTAACAATAAAAATTCAAAGATTCAAAAGGTGATGCTCTTTAAAAAAAAGTTAATAATTTGTAGGGCTTGGATTTATATTCCCTAAAAACATAAAAAAAATGTTCATAAACTTCTGAATTATAAAAATTCCTTGAAAGTATGAAAACGCTCCAAAAAAATTTAAATAAAATACTGGCACATAAAATATTAAAAATACTCTACAAAATTGCTATGAAATAAAAACTTTTCTATTAAAATGCCATAAAATAAAAAATACAGAATAATAATGCCAAAAACAAAAAATATACTTTTTTTATTTTTATAATTTTCTTTGAAGTTGTATTAAACTATTATCAATACATAATAAAAATATGGTTTTATATTTTCAAAATTCATTTTTGAATTTTCCATTAAATAAATCGAATTTTGGGCTTCGAATCTAGGATAATCTTAAAATATAGAACATGCATTATTGAATTCCTGGCCCTAGTTATTTGATATTAATCAATGTCAAAAATTTTGAGATTTTTCATTGACTTTTTATTTAACCGCTTAAGATTTAGTGGTTATAATTGAGACATAATTTCATCCAATTCATTTTATATTATATTAATTTTATATTCATATTAACTATTTTTTGATAATTTGACTGTAAATGTTTTTTTCGTCTAAAATAATATTCTAATAAATAAAAATTTGTTCAAAGTTAATAACAAATCGAGAATATCAATGTCAATTTTATAGGATATGATCCGTTTAACGGTTTTTAATTAAAGTATTCGATAGTAAAAATATGTTGTACTTCTATGGTAGACGATATATAATTTAAACATTTATGACTTACTTAACATAAAAATATATGATTGTAATTTTTTTAATAATTACAAATCATCTACAATCATCTGAATACAAAATTAAGTTATATTTAGATTATGGCGATATCGTAATCAATCGATAATTAAGTTTGTTTAAATATTGAAATAAAATTTAGTCAAATACTTTTTAAATCCTGCAAACGTGTTAATGCTTATATTCAACACTTCGTCGCTTCCATTTAATTGTTCGAGTACATTATAAACAGCTACAAATTTTCTCAGGAGAGCGATATAATATATCGCTCTCTATTTGTACAAAGTAATAATTTTACTTAGTACAAATCTATACGACGGTGACANATTATAAACAGCTACAAATTTTCTCAGGAGAGCGATATAATATATCGCTCTCTATTTGTACAAAGTAATAATTTTACTTAGTATAAATCTATACGACGNACAAAGTAATAATTTTACTTAGTACAAATCTATACGACGGTGACAGTAATTTGTGAGCCTATTGAAATTGCAAGCAGTGATGCACAAGTTCATTATATAATATGTTGCTATTATTATGCAGTTGTTGAACTTGAATCCGAATTTGGACGACCACCATTGAACTGTAACAAACATATGGTGTACGAAATGTTTGTGGTTTTATAGTACGATGAACGGTTGCAATGCATCAATCATTTACAATGCTTTTCGGTGGTATCCATACTACCCATTATAGTTACTGTAAAGCATACGGAACACTCGTTACCGCCACTACCATTTAAGACGTGACTTTTTAAAACATTTAGTTTTTACGCTATGGTTTTGTTGAATTAGTGGCCAAAAAGAGCGTTCACGCTTAAAAGATAACTTACCGTTATCTAATATATAAAGAATCCAATTTCTTATAAATAAACATTATTTGTTTGATAATACTTAAAACGTCCTTCATTTTAATTAAACACAAGTCTCGGAAATGAATTCTAATTACCTTTGAGCAGAAAAACTTTATTATTAGTAAAAATCTCATTAATTATTTCAAGAATTATTAATTAATTAGAAAAAAGTCAAATTTGTCATCTTAAACCATGCTTAAGGTATGATGATTTTTTAATGGAGCAAGTTTACATAACTTAGCTTAATTATGGTTGGGTTGAGTTGTATGTACAATGTATATTTTCCATATTAAGAGGAATTCAACTCATGCCCCCTTAAGAAATTTTGAATATATTATACAATTTTTTTATTAGTTTACTCAGTAATAATAATAAAAAAAACTATATTTGTGGCGTAAAAATATTTAAAAGAGGAAATCCACCTCATGGCCTTCTATGGTATGATTCGGCATAATTATTAAGTTTATTATTATTATTTTTTTATTAACTAAGCTAGTTTAGCTAATAATGAGCAAATTATACAAATAACGAAAAAAAACAACTTTCCCAATTAATTTTTATTAAAAAATCTCACTAGTATTCCCATAACTTGAATAAAACACATGGAATATCAAATATTCTTCATTCAAGATGTTTTTATTTAGCCATTGCAAAAAAAAAAAACCTATCACTGGGGGGTCGCAGCACAGTGGTGACGTGGCATAATTGGATCAAGTATAATGATATTTGACAGTGATTCAAAATAATAAAAAACGCTTCGATGTAAATCTGTAGATAGTGTTTAATATTAAAAAATTGGTGGATTATTCCTGATTACAAGTTTTATGATTTATAAGAGTAATATATGAATATATTTATAATATATAAATATATAAAGGAAAATGGTTTTATTAAAAAAAAAGTATGTCGAATGAATGAGGTATATAAATAGTATTTATCATAAAAAAAAATTGTATTTATCCATACGTTTTTTCAAAAAGTTATAGCATTTTAAAGTTAAAAATATAAAATCGAGAATTTTAACACAAAAATAGGATTCAGTAGCCATTATCACTGTGAATACATAATAAAGTCCGAAATATTTTTTTTTATAATAAAGAATATTAAATTAGCTTTAATTTAAGCTATATATAAAAGTGTCAGAGTTTCCTGAACACTTTCAAAAGTTAGGTTGAAAAAGTTTTAGTGAAAAGTTATCATTTTAAATTACCCCTTATGGGTGTATGGTAAAGCGTCATGTTTATAAAAAAAATATACAAAATGATAGGTAAATACCTCACGTATTTATAAAAAAAAAATTATATCAATTTTGTCATTTTTAAAAAATTTATGGTAATTTTAAGTAAAAAAACATGAAAAAATGTCAAAAATTAGCAATTTTTTAATTTAAATTTTTTTGGAGATTACCCCTATTAAGGGAAATGAGGAAAATTTTTTCAATTTTGAGGGTAATGTCTTCGACTAGATAAGATTTGTGATCTTTTGACGTATTGTTGAAAGACATCGGTTCAGTGAGAGCTGAGAAAAAGTGGTAACAGACACAAAAAAAAAAAAAACACCTCTTAGTAAAACCAATACCTTCTCAGCTTCGCATCGAAGCTAAAAATGATTCGTATTTAGTATACTTTTATTTTAATATAATAATAATATATTTTTTGAAGTTTATTACATAAATCATGATCACATAGTTTAAAAAAATGTACTTGTTATATAAAAAATTTAAATCCTTGGTGATAGTCGTGTAAATAAATGAATTAATACAGTACAAATAATTAAATTAACAGTCCAATTTTGTAAAGTTTAATTATTTTATTTTACTATATTGCGCGTCGTTATAAAACTTAACAAATTGTATTCTTATGCAAAAATCTTTATCCCTAAGTATAATCATAGTAAGCATAAAAAAATTTATTTCTTTTAATTAAGTCATTTTTTATAAAAAAAAATAAAAAATTTTCTAAGGAAATCTATTTAATAAAAGATTAGTTCTTGTCTTTATTAAACGTATAATGGGTTTAAAAATTGTTCACAATACATTAAATAAAAGTAAAGCATTATTCGGATTACTGAAAGGAACATGGACTTGTGTAAAAAAATTATCTTTGAAAAAATGTAAGTAATTAAAATTAAAACTAAAAGTTTGTAGCTTAATTCTTTAACGAACTTTAGCAACTAATAAAAAGAACAGTGTATGGACATATAGCAAAAATCAATTACAGCAAACATATAAAAAGTGTTTCTGTTGCATCTGCATCAAACTTGATGCAAAACAATCAGACCACGAAAAAAGCCCTAAAGTTAATAGTAATAATAAACCCGAAATTAAGAAAACGATAAAAGAAGAGATAGTAAATTTGACGATTCCATCAAATCTTGATGAGCTTAAAGCACGTATATTATGGTTTTTAATATTATTATAAATACATTACCCGTTTAAAGTTGAATAAACAATACAATAGCTATATTTTGATAATAACATAATTGCGTTTCCCTAAAGAGAGTTTATAACGCAATCACCATTATAAGACTTTAACATCAATAATTTTTAAACTTATAAATCCACATTTTGAATTTTTTCTAATAAAGTTAATTATAATAATAAAATTAGATATATTCTTGGTCTATGGTATTCAACACTTTAAAATCTACCCTAAGTGTTGAAAAAGTTGTGGAAACTCCTCCGCAAAAGAACCAAGAACCAAAGGAACCACTGTTTAGTCTACCTCCAAAAACTGAAGCTAAAAATGTTTCGCCAGGTAATAACAGTTTAACTTTTAAAATATGTATTTGGTAAAGAAAAATGTTCAATTATAGCCAATACTTTATAAATTATTTTTCAGTGTGCCGTGGTATTAAAAACCAAGGGGCAACTTGTTATTTAAATTCTTTCATCCAAGTCTTGTTCCATACGCCGGAGTTTCGTAACGAGTTGTTGGAACTGACATTCCCTAATGATTCCGGTGACGACAATTGGTTTAACGTAGCTTATCAACTTCAAAGGCTTTTTGTAGAACTACTTGGACCTGACACATCGGCGGTCAAGACTAATGGCTTAACAAAAAGTCTTGATTGGACTCAGAAGGACACAGATATCCAGCAAGACGTCCAAGAGTTTGGTCGTTATTTTTTGGGCATCTTGGACGAGAAGTTGCAACTTTCATCGTCCGCTAACATGATTAGTCATTTATTCAGTGGCAAGTATAATGTATTTACTATAAAAATAAACATGACTGTTTTTTTAGACTTGATTAGTATTTTATTAGTTCATCGTGTTTACTATTCATTATCATGTTTCAGGCATTCAGGTCGAATACCTTACTTGTACTATGTGCAATATAAGTAAAGAACAGTACTCCACATTTTTTGATATTTCTCTGCCTATTCGCTCTATTGATGGAAAGACATCATATGACTCGCTGGTAAATATATATAAACCGTAAAATTATATGTTTAATGTAGAAAAAGCAAAATTAAAGTTAAATTAATAAATTTGTTTTTTATATTAATATACTTGACTAATAGGAATATGCAATAGAACAATATTTAAGACCTGAAATATTAGACGAACATTTTTGTGACATTTGTGGAAAAAAAAGCAAATTTCTAAAGGGACAAAAATTTAAAGAGCTCCCATATATTTTATGTTTTCATCTAGGTAGGACTACCTATAACATAAACAGTCTAAAACCTGTAAAAATAAATGACAAGTACGTAATGTTTATATAAACGTAAAAAAAACATTGTTATGAATTTTTGTATGAAATTTTTTTGTCAGAGTATCTTTTCCATTTATCATTTCAATGGATGTGGATGGCTATAATTCCATATTTGAATTATACGGAGTGATCATTCATAAAGGTGAAGCCACTTTTGGGCACTATTACTCATACATAAAAGATTTCAAGTCGGGACAATGGTTTGAATGTAATGATGATATTATTACTACCGTATGTATTTACATTTTTGGAAAATACCACAATTATGAGACTATAACTATTACACAGATACCACCACATAAAATTGAAAGAGCTTTTAGCGGAAAATCAAGCGCATATATGATAATGTATCGACTTTTTGATAGAAACAGAAATCGAGAAGCTTACACAATTGAGGAACTCCCAGCGCATTTAAAGTAACAATATTTTTACTTATGCATCCATTTAATCAAATCCGTGTACTTTGTCATAAAAAAACAGAGTTCAACAATTACACAGCAAAATGAATAAGAAAAGCCTTATTCTATAGAGTAATACTTTTTTCAAATAAATGAATAACTTCAACCACAAAATCCTCCAGGAAATTAATAATTATGTTGGCTTTTCATAGTCATGGTATACACCAAACATATTGAAAAAACTACTTAATCAAATGGCTTATAATTATTATTGGAGGTAATACCTATTTTTAATTAAAGTAAAAAAAGACGAGTTATTAATTGATTTGCATGATAATGAATACGATCCATCAGTGTTTTTGAGGAGAACGTCTCATATATTTAATGGAGTATATAATATTTATATTTGAACAAAAATATCCTAATCTTGCGTATAGTTTGAATAAACTTAATGAATAGATAGAGCCTAAACAATTTGAGAAATTTAAACAACCATAGCCTACATTAATAATTTCAGGAAATCATTAAACCTTTTTAAAAAAATATTGAAATGTTAATTGTAATATTACAATGTATTTATAATATTAAATTTTATTAGACGATACTAAGAAAACAAAAAAAACTTTAGATGCTCTATTGATGAATAAATTGAATGCTGATAGTCCTGAATAAGTCGCATATTATAATGTAATTTGTGTTCCTTATTAGTTATTTGTTGAATTACCTTGAGAAGAGCTAATGCTTGAGTGGTATAAATTGGGCATACGATCCGTAATTTTTACTTGCATTTATATTCTAAAATAAAACTAAGAATATAAGTTAAATACACATTTATAAAATTATAATTAAAATTCAATACAATCTACTATGTCATTTTATAAAAACTTTTATATTATACTTTTGTATGTTAATAAAATATTTATATTTAACTAATTATTTGTAGTTTATGTTATAATCAGGTTATATTTATCAAAGAATTAAATATCGATTAATAACTACAATACATAATATACTATGTAGTATAATATATTAATACTACAATATAGTACGCTAAAAAATAAAGACGAATTGCAACACAGTTAATGTCGTTACAATTAATAAATAAAATTTAAAACCAATTAGTTTCAAAATTTCTCGATTTTAGAGTAATTAATTTATACTCTGCTAAAGTTTTTTATACTAATTTAAATAGAAAGAATCCCTAAAAAAAATAAAGATATGACTAGAATTAAAATCTGCTTTTTGGTTGTACTCTGCTATGTATTTTGCTACGTTATTTCTTGTGTCATTATACACGATTATTCCACTTCTAATCGACAGATTTTGCTCAAAAATAAATCAAAAGATCACAAAATGCATCTTGTTGAAGTAATCAGCAGCATCTGCATATTTTAGAGATTTTTAAGTAATGCCTACAAGTATGGCCCTCATTGTAATTAATCCATTTGAATACAAAGCATCAGCTTCCAAGATTACGCTAGGGATCTTTAGACTACGTCCTTCTGACTATAAAAAGCCATTTTTCTCCGTCAAAATCAGTATTCTTTCGGTAATTTAAAAGAATCAAATAAGACATTTAATTTAAATATATTAGAAATAAGACTCAGGATTTCAAAATCAAAAGGATTGGGTTAACAAAATTTCAATAAAAATTATTAAGAAGTCTTGTTTTAATTATTATTTTCAGAAAACATATTTATTAGGAAATTTTATTCCCTTCTATACACTATACACAGTATGGTATATATAAATATCATTTACACGTTCTATCATAATTTTCATTTTTCTCACGTTACAAAAGTCTACAAAACAAACCATTATAATCATTTTGTATAACATTCCTCAAAGAAATATTAAAATCGTATGCGGATCTTGTATACAGCTACAGAATTATTGTACATGGGTTAGTTAATTATATTGTAAAACCTAAGCTATTTCAACAAGAATAAAAATAACAACTACTTAGAGTGTAAAAAGCTGTTCATTCTTTAATACTATTTTTATATTAGAGAGGCAACACATCCGTTGACTGTATACTTTTTTATCGTGACTTATTGCACGGATGCAGGATAAATTTATGAATGCAAAGGTTATTTTTATGCGCTTCTCAGAAAACGAATTGTTTTGTGGGGGTATATTACTTTTATTATTATTGGTATATTATTTTCTTAAAACATATTAAACATACAGCTCAATGAAGTATAACGATAATACTATTGAACGAAAGAAGGGTAGTTATGAATGACAATATAGTTTGTGTCAACTGGTGGCGAGGAGTTTGCATAAAACATACAAGCTCTATATGGCGTCAATAGGATTGAAAATAAACACCAGATTTTGGCCAAAAACTTGGCAGATAAAACAAGCAAATTATAATTAAAGAAACTATTTCAAAAATTAGTAATTTTTTTATGTTATCCTTCATAAATAAACAAATAAAATTAATTTATCATTAATAGTCAGTTAAACATTTATGAAGTTAATAATCTTTTTAATACTAATTCTTATACTATATTTTTTGTTGTATTTATATTTTTGTAATTTTTAGAAATAATTTATGATAAATATAAAAAAAAGGCTTATATATATATAAAAATATTTTAATATTTTAATAAAAACAATGCAAACACTTTGATATTGGTTACTATTTGTTATATATATATTTTTTAAATTATTAGCTATGTAATACTTTTTAAGTTCATCCCTAATACCTTTTGAGGGTGAAAATTTTGTTTTTTTAAATAGAAACACATTTTTTGAATTTAATTATATGTTTGAGGTTGCATATACGCAACATTTATTATCAAAAGTAATACGGCATATTTTTTTTAGTTAATAAATACATCAACTGGCACCAACAAAATGTAACCAACAAAAACATGTTTAAATAATTTTTATTTTGTAAGTAATAAAATGGGTTATAATAAAAAATCATTCTGTATATATTTTTTGATTTTTATTCATTAATAGAGTTAATTGTTAATGTGCTTTAAATTCATTCATTACTTAAATATATAAAACACGCATTCCATTTTGTTGGGTTTTACTAGTCATGTCTGTTAAAATTTTATAAATTAAGAAATAGTAACAAATAAATATACTTCTTCAAAAATTAAAAATATTCTAAAAGTGTATAATATGAATATTGAATAATATTATAATAAAAGAAAGTTAATTTTAACTATCTAATAATCTAATAACAAAATAAAAAAAAACAATTTTTTTTTTTATTTTTCATTTTATTTNATAATATTATAATAAAAGAAAGTTAATTTTAACTATCTAATAATCTAATAACAAAATAAAAAAAAACAATTTTTTTTTTATTTTTCATTTTATTTTACATTTATACATTGAACTTGGTTGTATTTAACCTTTATTGTCTCTTGCTTAGTTATTTCAATAATATTGTTTATATCTTCTTCACTTAGTGAATTTTGATTGGACGAAGAGCCTTCATTTAAGTTAGACGTTTTATTTTCATTATACATGTTATAATAATAATAAAGCCATTGTCTACCATCATTTGAATTTACTCGAAAGAAGTTCTCGTTGGTTATATAATGATAAGCATGTATACATACATAAATACCACAATCAGTACAATTATATTGCTGTATGGCATTTTTGGCAAGAATGAATTGTCATTCACTCGCAATTGGTTTGGGTATTGAATTATCATAGAATGTTCTTATATTAAAGTAAGAACTCATTATGAAATGTAAAATTTCATATAAATTTATTCTAATTATTTTTTCTGAATCTAAAATAATTATTTGTTTTGAAACCAAATTAATTACTCCCAAAACCCAATGATAACTGAAAGCTGATGAACCAACGTGTATATTAACTAAAATAATTGTTTTTTCTTGAGTTATTAAATTTGTCATATATTCGATGTAAGGAGAAAAATTTTTTTCACGAATACAAATATAGATATATGACGAAACGTATAAAATAGTGTCTTCCTTCTTGTTTTCTTTTATAAAACAATTTATAACATCATCAATTACATCTCCAAATATAAATCTACCGCGTCTTAATGACTTCACAGTATTCGTTACTTTCGTAGGCGCAGAAGGAACTTTTAGTCTTTGAATATCTGTGTTATCTAAAAATGCAAAAACAAATATTTAAATTAAAATATTGAAATGTATTACATTATATATAATATATTATTAAATAAAAATTAAAATCATCATTACATTATTATATTTTTCATTAAAATCTGAACTAAGCTATGATACATACTGATAGCAAATCATTGATGCTAAGATATATATGTGATAGTACAATACATTACATCTCTCTTAACAAACTTTTTTTTTCTCATTAAATTTAAACAAGAAAAATACACTAATAATAATAAATAATTTTTAATCCTTCTTTATATTTATATAGTTATACAATTTAGTTTTCCTACCATATTTATTTAATCTATACTTGTCATCCTCTTCTTTACTTCCACAGAAATTGTTTTATACTGTTATCTTCATTCTCTTTTTGTTCTAAGCTTGCATCCTTTTTTTTGTTTTTTGTCATTGGATTTTATTGTTTTGTACCTGAAGAGTTTGAGATATTCATATTACTTTAATTTGTCCTTTTAATTCTATTATTTTCATCAAATAAGATTATCGATCTTGTCTTTCTTTCTGAAAATTATTTTTATTTTAGGATTTATAATTAATTTTCTGTTTCTTACATTTTATCATAATAATATTTTTTAGTTCAGCCCATATTTCATGATTCTTTATATTTATTTATTACCTTTGGTTTCAATAACTCATTTCGTATTGGCAATTTAATCTTATATATATTACTAAATAATAATTGACTATGTGATATATTTATTCTTGAAATTTGCGAATTCTTATATCCAATCAGCATGGCTTGTAATTCTACTTTTACCTCATTCCTTTTCTCTAAATTTGTTTTGGTATTACTATAGATTTTTATGCAAATCTAGTGCTTCTTAAATAATAATGACTAGAACCGTTTATTTTGAAATTTCACTTTTTACTAAAATTTTTCATCTGGATTACATTAAACAGCATATTATCTGCTCTTAAAATATTTGGTTTACCATGTATTGCAAAATTATTTTTTAATATTTCTTTGAAATTTTCAGATTTTTATAAAGTTTCTATTTTTTGGTTATATTATTTCAATCCACTTTGAATAATAGCCTCTAAGTATTAGAAATAAGTGTTTTTTATAATCAAATATATCACATTTTATTTTTTGGAAATTAAAATCAGGGAATTCCTTTATTATAACTGTATTTTTCACATACATTACATTCGCTTATTATATTTTCTATTTCAGTATTCGTATTGTTCCAATAAAATAACATTTTTGTTCCACTCTTCACCTTCACTATTTCTATATGTGAATCATGTTCTTAATTCAGAATTATTTATCTCATTGATTTTGATACAGTTATGTGACTCTCGATGAACACTAATTCTTCTTTAACATAGATATCACTTCTTGTATTAAAATAAAAATTAATACTTTCAGGTACTTTTGTTTTAGTTTTTGTCCATCCTTATATGAACATATTTTTGAATTCCAGCAACATAAAATCTGTATTAGTTTTCTCTTGTAGTTTGTTTTTTATTTCTATTCTAATATTTATTCAATGAAAACCATTATTTACTCTAACATTGTTTTATTTTGTACATACTTTTCTAATTGCATTTGCTATAAACATTTTATTGCCTGGTTCATGAACTACCTCAATATATACTTAGTTATAATTTAATTCGTTGTAACTTTTAACATGAAATTTGATAAATATATTTTATTAGTGAAATCAGTGGTAAATTATCAGGTTGTACGTTAGTTCTCTGGTCATAAATAATTTGATCAAATATAATACATGCAAATAAATTGCTAAAAATTCCTTATCAATTTGCCCTTAATTATATTCTACTGGTGATGCACAACACACTGGTTACTATTTTGAAATTGTTTTTCTTTCTTGTATTTAATGGCATCTACAATAACAGTCTATCCTTCTGATAGTATTTGTTTAGTTTGAACTTTTCTAATTTCAGCTTATCTTAGATGTTCTATAGCCTCTTTTAAGTTAAACTCTCATTTTTATCATTTTCTACTCATTCATGAGTATCAGAATCATTGGCCCCTCGAATAAGTTTATCACAAAGAAGTTCTTCTTTATCTGTAAACTCGCAGACTTCATATAAAGTTTTGATTTCTGTTAAGAAATTATCAAATGATTCTCCTTTTACTTTTTGGCCATCTATTATAGAATAGAAATCTTATATATAATATATTTTACTTTGAATTATAGTATGTATAAAATATCACGTCCTTATATTTCTTTGTTTTTAAATTTAAAATTTTAAAAATATTATAAACATCCAATGTATCTACTGACACGGTACCGTGTTTCCCTCAGCCGCAAATCACGTTATCAACCTAAATGAAAATGTATCGGGATCAGAATCAAATGTGCACAGTAGGGTGGTCCTTATTTTTTTTTTCGAAATTTGATCGGGCCACCCCCCCAATTTGTTCTTAACTATAAAAAAATGGTTCATACTTAATTTTGTTAATTTTGGTCAACCCTAAGCCGTGCCTCAAGAGGGTTGAAAACTCGGTAATAAGGGTAGTTTTTCAGTTATTGTGGTTTATCTCAAAAACTATGACATTTACGTAAACGTTTATAAGAAAAAAATTGTAGATATTAATATTCTAAATAATAAAGTTCATTACTAAAAAAGTCGTAAGTCAAGTATTTACCTCGTAAAAGTTAAAAGTTCAAACATTTTTTAAAAAAGGTGATTTTCAGTTTTTTGCGATTAAATCCTAAAGTATTAACAATAGAAAAAAATAACTTATTATAAAATGTTTTTAAAATTAAATTTACAATAATATTTGTTATAAATGTTTTTCTCATAAAATGACTCATTCTATCACAAAATAACAAAAACTCGGTTTTATACTATAATAAATTTTATATTTATATAAAATTCTACACCTATAAGCTAAGGACCACCTTAGTGCACAGTGGTCTAGTGGTAAGGTTTGTCTATACGACGTCTTGGGTCGCNTTACAATAATATTTGTTATAAATGTTTTTCTCATAAAATGACTCATTCTATCACAAAATAACAAAAACTCGGTTTTATACTATAATAAATTTTATATTTATATAATATTTATATAAAATTCTACACCTATAAGCTAAGGACCACCCTAGTGCACAGTGGTCTAGTGGTAAGTTTTGTCTATACGACGTCTTGGGTCGCGGGTTCTAATCCAATACCGTGTCTCTTTTTTTCACATGATTTCCGGTACACTTTCTATAACCAGCCGTCAATCCCCGGCGGCCGTGTTACTACACTAATTAAGTTCAGTGTGGTTGCTATCATTCTTTCATCATTCTCTTTGTCAAACCCAATAGCCAGTAAATAAATTTTAAACGACTTTTTAAATCGCTTATAGTTTTCATTTAGTTACTGATAACGAATCAGTATTGCTACAAAATATGTGATAATATTATACATTACAAATATATTTAAAGTAAATTCATAAATAATTCTGTACAATTTTTTGAACTTCAGCTTAATTAATGCTTGTGTTCGGTATATATACAAAAAATAATAATTTTCATAAGATTAAAATCATTTTTCTTTTAACAAAATAAATGTAAGCTACGATATAACACAATAATAAAATATCAAATTCACATAATTACCTGGAATACCACTTACACATTTTAAGCAATCTAAAATAAAAAAAAAATCATAGAAAATATCATATTTATTTGTTATTATTATGTATTTTAAATGTTTAAATGTTCGTCTCAAGAAATATATTTTTTCTTTTTTCAGTTTATATTTATGTACAAATGATACGTTTATTATTACCCACTCAATTACTTGTGAAATTAATACAAAAAAAAAAAAATTGTGTTTTTTAGTTAAATATAATCCATTATTTATAAATTATTAATTACTTTTTCCTTATAACTTATACAGTTAACAATTTTATTTTTTTAAACAGTGACATACAACGTTTGCGATTGAACTTAGAATATATTATTAGTTTATCAGATTTTATTCTGCTTGGATAAAAATATATCAATAATTATAACACAGTTAAACTATTCATTGGTAAGAAGAGCGTGTGTAAACTTGAAAATTAACAAATAAACAAGTATACATATAGTGATTATTTAATTGACAAAGTTAACAGACATTCTTATACACTGTAAAATATTATATATTTCGACATTGAGAATTTATTATAATTATTTTTCAAGTTCGTTTTTATTCAGTCTCGAATCATATTTTAAAGGAATACCCGTCCAACAAACGACTATTTTGCCACCCTTATGTTGTACTATTTTTATAATTAGGTATTATTAAGATNTTACTTGTGAAATTAATACAAAAAAAAAAAAATTGTGTTTTTTAGTTAAATATAATCCATTATTTATAAATTATTAATTACTTAATTATNTAATCCATTATTTATAAATTATTAATTACTTTTTCCTTATAACTTATACAGTTAACAATTTTATTTTTTTAAACAGTGACATACAACGTTTGCGATTGAACTTAGAATATATTATTAGTTTATCAGATTTTATTCTGCTTGGATAAAAATATATCAATAATTATAACACAGTTAAACTATTCATTGGTAAGAAGAGCGTGTGTAAACTTGAAAATTAACAAATAAACAAGTATACATATAGTGATTATTTAATTGACAAAGTTAACAGACATTCTTATACACTGTAAAATATTATATATTTCGACATTGAGAATTTATTATAATTATTTTTCAAGTTCGTTTTTATTCAGTCACGAATCATATTTTAAAGGAATACCCGTCCAACAAACGACTATTTTGCCACCCTTATGTTGTAATATTTTTATAATTAGGTATTATTAAGACAATTTGTCTTTTGTTATTATTACCCGTGAAAACAACCTCTAAAGAGATTTTTCTTCAAGAAGAGAAGTACGGGTATGGTATTGCACACTTAAAATACTTTAAATATTTCATAAAAACAGTTACTTAAATTGTTTTTATCAAAAAAGCCTTTTTAGAACTGACCGGTCATAAATATCTTTATTGAATTTATACTTTCACCTCATTTCATGTAGTGTAAATATCCTGTATCATTACTACTAGAGAGTTAATTTGGTCATAAAATGGTTATTTTTATTAATCTAGGCTGTTGTAGTATACCCAATGCCTTGCATTATACATCTTACAATTATCAATGAAAAATTTATATTCTGTCTAACATATAACATATATACAAAGAAATAATTTATCTTTCATAATACTTATACTACTGTACACATTGTATTATTAGATTTATAAATCCCAACTCAATCATTATTATCCACGTGTCTTATCTTAAAATCATGTGATGTTTAATTTTGTCACAATAAAAATATATTAACTAAAAGACGCTGAGGAAAATATCCCTATGTTAGGTGGAGGTATTTAATATACTATAAAAAGATCAAATAGCATCACAAACTTTGGCATTGGATTCTTTATCAAATCTCATCCTGCACTTTTAAGAATTCAATACGTTCGTATACATTTTTTTACAAATCGCGGTCCTTTGTTGTAGTCGGTATGTTTGTCTGTTTACTCATATGTGTTAAAAAAACTTTTTATAAGATATATTCTCAATTTCTTCATGGGTATAAATATTAGTACATTAAACAAGATTTTGAATTTGAAATTCCAACATAGACTCAATTAGCGCTCAATGCATTTTCAAATCAATAAGTATTAACTTAAATAAAAGGTAAGCCAATTAGATATATTCCATATATTCAGAATTAAAAATCTGAACAAAGAATGATAAAGCAATAGATCTTTACATTTATATCCTCCATTTATAAGATAACCATCTCGACTGTATATCGAACAGAAGATCTCAGGCCACTGCAAGAATACGTCGATGAAATATCTTCTTTAAATAATCAAATAGTGCTAACTCTTCGACTGGGTGTCAAGAATACCTCAACATAAAATTTATAGTACTTGTTAATTACATAATTAAACATCAACAAAGAGTAACAAGTTTTCTTATTTTTTTATCTACTTGTATTTATTGTTGTAAGCTCTCGAACTCTAACCTAGGTACTAACCAATTTGATCAAATATTCATACATACTAACTTAATCAATAGACCACCCCAAACTCTTGTATTCTTATTAAAATGATTATTACAATGCACACTGTTGTTATACTCGTGCATAACTTACTTTAATATATTACCATTTAAGTAAATTAATATTTTTAATAATATTTCTGTAACCGAATAACATATTATCCATTATAAGTAGACATTAAAAAGACGAAAACAATTTTAACTTACAACACAGCTATGCCAAGAGAATTTAAACATGAAAATATAGATTTCACATTTCCTCAATAGTATATGATTCATTAAAAGCTAAAATTACTTATTGGTTTTCATAAATAACCATAGAATAATTAATGTAAATAACATTGCTGAATGATATCAATAATTAGATATAAATAGAATAGATATAAATCCGCAACTATATTCAACTGTTTTGCTATTTAATAAAAGTAGACGATTTAGTTATACTATTAATTAGAAATTATAACACTATATACTGTTAAAAAAGTATTTTTTAACATCATCACATTTTAATATGATATAATAATATAAACTCACCTTGTATCATATTTTTTATACCGTATACTTTGAATGTAATTATTAAAACTAATAGAAATGTACAAAGCAAAATTTTTTTACACATTGTTATATAACTTCGCTCTACTGAATAAAATTTATATAAAATTAAGAAATATAACCATAAAATATCTTTATGAAACTCTTTAACAACAACTTTATTTTAAAGTTCTATTTAATTTAGCTAATTTTTAATAATAAATGTCATATATTTTTATAATTACAACAGCTATTACTCATGATTTACATTTTCTAAACTAAACACACTTAAAATGTCGTAGAATAAATTAATACAGTGTACCTTAAAAATGATTATACTAAGTTAGATTCATTATCTGTGAAATCACAAAATTAAAATAATCTAACTTTATTATAATATTAACTCACAAATCATAGTTACATTTCAAATATTTCTCCGAAATTTACTCCAGGTATAATATATTCAATGTTTTTTATTTAATTTATTACGGGTATGGTTTTTATAAAGTATAAAACGCAATAGTATTTTGTTTTCGAATTTTTTAGTGAACTACCAAATACAGTATTTTTAATGTAATAAAATTATATTAATTTAAATATTTTCTATTATGCTTCTAGTTATTTTAAATTTATTTAACTGTAGATTAATAATAAAATTCTTTATTTATTATTTCAATTTTAATAATTTATAATGTAGCAATTGTTTTATAAATGTTTGACGCTTTTAACAATTCGATAGCAATATTGTAGACTTGTAAAAGGTCATAACATAATCATATTTATGCACAATCTGACTTATATCTGACTTATATTTTAGCTANAGTGATTAAACCTATGATATTGTACGGTGCCCTGGTCTGGTGGACCAGAACAGCACTCATTACAGCTAGGAAAGAACTTAGTCGCATACAGAGAATGGCTGCTATTGCCATCACTGGAGCATTAAGAACTACACCAACGGTCGCATTAGAGGCACTAATTGGATTGCCTCCTCTGCATCTAGAGGTGAAAGCACATGCCAAAGCTACAGCACTAAGATTCCACAACTTAGGTATGTGGACTCTGGAGAGTGATACAACAGAACATGGTAAAACACTAAAAGAGATAGACAAGGGCTTTTTAGAATACCCCTTGGACTATATCAAACCGGTTCTTAAGAATAACATTCCCTACAAAGTGGAGATCACTACACGTATAGAATGGAATATTAACCACCTGACTGACAAAGGAGGATTTGTGATATATACAGATGGATCCAAAAAATCAGGAAAGGTAGGTGCTGGAATTTGGGGCTTAAAGCCACGAATAAATGTCAGTATGTCATTGGGCACAACACCCTCTGTTTTCCAAGCAGAGGTGATGGCGATACTGGTAGGGGCTCAGAACCTGCTGGTATACAAAAATAGGAAGATAACTATCTTAAGTGATAGTCAAGCGGCTTTGAAAGCACTCTGTAACGATCAGGTGAATTCAAAGCTGGTCCTCGAATGCAGGGAAACTTTAGAATCACTATCGAGGTTCAACAAAGTTACACTAGCGTGGGTACCAGGACACAACGGTGTCACTGGAAATGAGAATGCTGACTTTCTAGCCAGGAAAGGAGCAGAGAACACCTATGTTGGACCAGAACCAGTGGTAGGGCTCACTGAGCAATCGCTCAAAGCGTTACCCAAGAATTGGTGCAGAGAACAACACAGGAAAATCTGGAAGTACTTGGTAGTACCTAGACAATCTAAAATGTTTATCAAGACCCCTGGTTTATTGCTGGGTGATCTTAATAGCATGACTAGACATCAAATAAGCACCCTGACTGGTCTACTGACAGGACATGGTCACCTGCTTAAGCATCTTAACGCAATGGGGGTATCGGAATCACCATTGTGCAGAAAATGTGGAGTAGAAGAGGAAGACTCATTTCACATCATGTGCGAATGTGAAGCCTTGTCCACACTAAGATCAAACTACTTGAATAAACCATTTCCTGAAAAAGAGGATATTAAAAACCTAAAACCCAGGGAGATACTTAATTTCGCCAGAAAGACAGGACTCTTTGGTCATCTCTAGAGGTGACTTTATGGTTGGTAATGTATTAACACTTTGGTGATAACACTTAGGTGGGTAAACCGAATCAAGACAATTCGGTATGAGGTGCGCACAATGGACCAACAGGTCTGAGTGCATGGGCATTATGTCCACCTCAATAATAACTAAAACTAAAACTAAAACTATATTTTAGCTAATAATTGGTAATATGAGATAATACTGTTGATATGTTAAATTGTAAGAATGAAGTTCTTGTGTGTTAAGTAACAATGAGTAGCACGTGCGTTACACAGTTTTGCTCCAGAGACTTCTTCTTCGAGTGACGTCGGCAACAGCATAAGCGACTAGCTCTTAGGACTTCTAAAATATGTGTATATTGTATTTTCTTACAATAAAATAGATTTGATTAAATATGTATTTATGTTAGCGATTTCAACTAGTCATAATCTTATTATTTGAAAACGATCAATATTTTTCTAGTAATTAAATTCTATGCAGTCTTTAAAATTGACTCATCTTTTCGTTATCTCTATCTACACTTTTAAATTAAATTGTTGTTAGGTAGAAATAATTGTAATATCGAATTGCAAGTGTCATGAAGCATACGGCAGTCGAGATTTTTTTTTACTCACTTTTAAACAATGATTTTATTACTGCAATTTACACTAATAGGTCACGATAAAAATGGCGTGGTGACCGGATGATGTATTTCATAATTTAATACTGCCGACCCGTACAAATCCTTTAGTACAAATCACCCCCTCCCAATTTACTTAAAAATTTGTATTTTCTAATGTATTATGTATAGTTACTTTAAAAGTATTTAAAAGTCAACGTAAAAAAATTATGTAATAAAATTTTGTAGTTTAAATTATGATGATAAAAAAAATCAATCGTGCATAAATTATAGTTAATGAATAATAATAAAAAATAATAATTATATTTTTTTCTGTTAATAAACGGTTAATTTAGTAAATACAATTGTCAACTTATTAATGTAAACAACAAAATTGTGCACCATTATAAAAAATAAGAAACATTAATTAATAATACGTTTGGCGTTTTCTTGATTTGGTTGTTCGACACAATTTACACGACCGCCGTCGCCGATTATTATTTTAAATAATGTATACCGTCGTACCGTAGCTACCCAGCCCAATCACATTATATATATATATATATGTAATTTTGTTCAATAATAAGTTGATCGATGGGTAAGCCCATAACAATCAAATTTATTCTAGATGTATTTGACATAGAACTCTCAATTTCTAGTATTAAACGTTCTTTTTTTAGAGCATAGTCAATTAATGATTCATTTAAATAATTAAAGTTATATGCAAATCTGACATTTGCCCAACTTTTATCAGCATACACTTGTAAAAAGGACCCTACCCAATTTGACCATTTGTTTATTGATAATTTTCTTAAATTTGAATTATACCATTCTTTTGCACTCTTTCTAAAAAAAAATTTAAACTTTGTATCTTCTTGATCTCCTCTATGACTTTATATCAATCACACTCTTTTTCAAATTGGTCTAACCATTCTTTTGCTTTCTGCCTGCCATTAAATTTATCTATAATAAATTTTTTTTCTATATCAGCTAATGATATCTCTCTTAATTCTAATTGAGCTTTTAAATCCATACACAATTTCATTAAAACATTTTTATCATCCACTACAAATGTATTTTTATCTGCATTCATTTTTTTTCGTCTAATTCGTCAAGATAATATGATCTGAATACAAAATTACGTTGGTCATCAGTGTACAATGCACTTACCTCTTCCGATAACATAACCGTTATATTACGAAATTGTCCTTCTTTTACCATACTCTTGCATGCGTTTTTCACAATACTGATTTGAAACAATTCTTTATGTAGATCTTCATATTGCTCCTTTACGAGAAATGCATACTCAACTGTATCATCTAAAAATCTAATTGTTTTTACCATATTAACTAGTTGACCAGTAACCATCTGTTTCTGGAATTTTATTTTAAACTGTGTAGACATCTTTTAAATTATCGATTTGTAATTTTGTTCAATAATAAGTTGATCGATTCTACAATAAAGTTTTTTATTAATACTAAATTGTATAACAAATACACACATAAACAATAAACAATAAAGAATCGATAATGTAAAACTTATTACAGTATACTCTTTAAATTATATAAAATAAAAATAATTATTAATTATTAAAAATGTTACCATATATTTTACACCTTAAATCTATATGATAATACAAATTACAGCAGTGATCACAGTGTCCTTATAAACAGTGCCGACACTGTTATACCTCCCCTCCTCCAGACATAAACTCCAGTTAAAGTACTCAAATCTTGTGCTGGAATTAATTTATTACTAGGGAAATAATTTTTTTTTTTCTTTTTTTTCTATCTCATATATTGAATTTGATATTTGTATTATTATTCGGCTCTTCTAACTTCATACAACTTGTTCCTATTCATTTTGTTGCCATTTTCTATGTATACTAACTCATTTTTTTTAAATGTATATTCTTTTCTTGTTTTGTCTACTCTTTTTTTATTTTTTTCATAATTTCTATTAGAATTTATTATAGCTTGTTCTCTATCTTTTTCTAAATTAAAAGTTTTTTCTTGAAGTTCATTTGGCACTATATGAGACTTTTCACCAAATAATAGATAAGACGGTGAAAATTTTGCTACACTATGTGTTGTATTGTTTTATTCCTCTACACATTCCTCTGCTATCTTAGACCATGCTTTTTTTTCTCCACTATTAATTTTACATCTTATTCTGTTTACCAATGTTTGGTTTAGTCTTTCATTTAATCCATTTGATTCTGGGCAATCAACTGATGTAAATATTCTTTGATTTCATATAATCTTTGACTTTTTTGGATTTAATCCCTGTATATTGATCCGCCAAAACCATTTTTATTTGGTGGTTCGCTAAAAAATTTGAAATCAAAATACTATTACTGTTTAAAATTAATGAAAACCATAACCATAATAAATTGAATTAAATATTAAATATATTATACCCAGAAAAAATTACGGAAAATTTTTTAAAAAGTAATTATGTATTATAAATAAATATTATGATAATGTTAAATAGTTTTAATTTTCCAAATTCACAGTTAATGTATCTAAATTTATATAAGTATTTTTAAGGTACACTGTATTAAATTATTCAATAGCATTTAAAGCTTATTTTGTGTGAAAATTCTTGATTTTGTATTTTACATTTTTAACTTTATAATGCTATAATTTATTGAAAAGTGTATGAATCAACACAATTTTTTTATGAGAAATAATATTTTTTAATAATCCCTTTTTCGTTTAGAATATTAATAAGAAAATAGGTGATCATGTAGCTTTTGGAATAATCCACCAATTTTTTTAAATTAAACACTATCTAAAGATTTGCATCGAAGCGTTTTTTTTTGGTAGTGATTTTAATCACTGTCAGATATCATTATACTTGATTCAATTATGCCACGTCACCACTGTGCCGAGACCCCCCTGTATGGGTTTTTTTTTTTACAACATAAAAATCCACATCATTTTTATGACTTTTCAATTTATTTGCATTTCTAAGACTTTACAATTTACTTACATTTCTATGGCTTCCCTTATTATTTGTATGTTTGTAGTTTCTCAATTTATTGTATATCTATGGCTTCTATTTATTTAGTTTAGAAAAAATAAACTATTAGTAATACAATGCTAGTAATACAAAGAAAAAAATTATATTAAAACTTAGTAACATGAAATAGTACTTAATATTAATTTTATTTGATTTATATTTATAAAGAATTACATAAAGGTATTTTGTGGTTTCGTTTGTTAATTTTATATAAAATCTATTCAATAGAACGAAGTTTAAGTAATAATGTTTAAAAACATTTTGTTGTGTATATATTTTTTAGCTTCATTAATTACAATCAAAGTATATGGTAAAATAAAAGATGAAGGTGAGCTTATGTTATTTTATATTACATTTAAAAAAGATGATCTCTAAAAAATATATATTTTAGTAATGTATATAGTATTATAATTTTATTTATTAATATATCATAAATTGTTATTTCTAATTAATAGAGAAACAATAAATGTAATGCATGCAACATACCCATGGTTATGATTTATTCAATCTTATACATATAAAAGTTTACTAACAAAAATATCTTCAAGAAATCAATTTGAAAGATTCAACTACACTTTCCTCCAATCTAAATCTAGTTTTTTTTTAATGCAAAGCTATTGTATTTATATCAAAGATACAAATATTTTTAAACGATGGATTACTTCATTTTAATCATGAAATTAATTTACTTGATTTTAGTACAATTTTCTTTGTTTGAATGTGTTATGACGTTGAAAAATCAACAAATCATTATCATTTCAACTATTGATATCATTTAGCAATCTTATATATAAGAATCAATACATAGTTTTAGCCTATTTTATGGGGACCCAGGCATTTCGCGGCGACCGCTTTGTTCTTGACTAATAATATTCATTATTAACAATTAATGCTATTGAAATAAAGCATACGCTTACTTATAAATATAGAAAATAAAAATGTGGTATAATAATTAATTATTAATGTATATAGAATATTCTTTTTAACATAACACACTCAATTATTTATAGAATAAAAATAATTCAAACATTTTTTTTTGATTATCATTAGTTACATATATTTCTTGAATTATGAACTATGTTGGAGTATTAAATTAAATAGTAAATGGTATTTTAATTTTTAATAATACTTTATTTGTATATTAGTTAAAAAACATTAATGTTTCAAATTTTTAAATTAATATACATGTATTATACACGATGGAATATAAATTCAGGTAGCAAATTGTACTTTTATGACTTCGCTATCACAGTTATTAAGTGTTTATTGTCAATTATGACTATATATCAATAGATATGCTTTCTGTATTGTCAGATGGTGTATATATAAACTCACAACAATGTGCCTTACTATCACTGATAATAAATTCTGCGTATCTGTTAATATTGACGTCATTAAAAACCAGCTAGCTACCTGTATTTGTAATCCTTTTTGTATTATACATGTATATTAATTTAAAATACCCATTACAGTGGGTCGCGGCACAGTGGTGACGTAAGATAGTTGGATCAAGTATAATGATATTTGACAGTGATTAAAATCACTATCATAAAAAACTTTTTTTTGACTTTGAAGAGGCAAAATAATCAAAATTAGTATAAATTTATATTAAATGTAAATTAGATTTATGTAAATTTTCTCTTTATTGGTGGAATTAAAACTATGGCAAACCCTTATAAAACATTTAAAAATAAACAAACAATAATTAAATTTGAACACAAAAATAACATGTTTTTTGACATATGTTTAGGAGGCAGTATTTCCAGAACTTTTTTGAAACTTAAGTTAAATTTTGTAAAAATGTTGGTATTTTGAATCCCCCCTGTGGTCAGGTAAAGGAACAGATAATCATACATTTTTTATCAAATGAAAGGTGACACGACTTACGTCGCAAAAATGTGGTCGACATTGGTTTTGAGGGTAGAGACCCGTGGGCCGTTTATTAAATGAGCGACAACAGATTATTTTAACAAAAATAAAACAAACCGAAAAGATAAACACAGTAATAATAATCTTCGCATAATATCGCGGCACTTTCGCTGGCGTCGACGACGCGATGTCCGGCGTAATCCTTGGACGGCAAAATGGTTAGCAGCGTTGTAGTCGACGGTGCGCGGGTGCGGTTCGGTTGGTCGGCGTTGTCGCTTTCACAACGGTAGGAAGACTCTCGCACCATTTGCGGCGGGCCGTCGTCGGCCGTGCGGCATTTGCCGGACTTTGCACCATAGCGTATAACACGCGGTGTTGGTCAGTCAAATACTCTTTGTAGGGCGACGGCTGATAAAGGTGGCACGAGTCGCGGGGCAACGTGTATAACGAAGCGAAGCGGGCTGTGTCAAAAGATAATACGTAAGGTATTAATATAAAAAAATGTTATGTTTCATTTTTCATTTTTCAAAGTGTTACCGCAGTTTTAAGAGAAAATATTGAAAAACAATGTTAAAATTTAGAGATTTTAATAATTGTAACTTTTTGAAGTATTTGTGCCATTTACAGGGAACGAGGGAAATTTTTTTAATTTTCAAGGCAAAGTCTTCAACTAGATGCGATTTGTGATCTTTTGACGTGCCATTGAAAGAAATCGATCCTGTGAGAGCTGAAAAAAATGGCAACAGACACAAAAAAAATACATCATAGTAAAATTAATACCTTCTTAGCTTCGCATCGAAGTTAATATATGAATTAATATTTACTTCAGCAATTAAGTATAATATGAAATTGATATTTAATAATTTAGTTTTATTATTTTGATGGACAAGTTGAATAATTTTGAAGTTAATATAAATATTTTCGAATAAAAAACCAATAGTTAGGTTTTCTTTCACCCCTTTCATAATACGCCTTGCAGAATATACTAATTAATTATTATCACCATCACCTAAGTTTCTGTACAATAATTTATTACAACTTTTGGAATTCACCAATTTTTACACAAAAATTTTACATTTTTCTTTAATTTTGATGTTCGTTTATTACTACGATGACGATACCAGTCCAGAGGAGAGTTTTTTCACAATAAAGTATTGAACATAAATTTTTTTTCAATAGTCAAGCTGAAAAAATTAATTTTATATGTAAAAGTTTTCATTTAGTATCCCTTACAGTGGGCAGGTAAAGGCACACATTTCCAAAGAAATATACCAAGTAATAAGTAAATACCTAAGGTATCTATAAAAAAATATTTGTTTTAATCCATAGATTTTACAATAAGTTTTAGCAGTTTTAATTAGAAAAAGTGGGAAATTACTGATAGTTATAGTTTATAAAGATTTTCCCAATTACGGGAAACGATGGAAAGTATTACAAATTTTTAGGGCTAATATCTTCAACTAGACACGATTTGTCATCTTTTGATGAATCATTAAATTAAATAGTTCTTTGAGAATTATTATTATTAAAAAATAATTCAATGAAAATGAAATTATTAAATTTTTTATTTACGAAATTATTATTATTATAAAAATAAATAATCAACTATTTTATCAGCTTGAAAAAATAACTGATTATTTTCCGCATAATCAATAAATGACTTAACAACACTAAAATCTCTTTCTGAAAATAAATTTTTTGTAGTAAAGATAAATTTGTCAGCAACACCCAAACTATAATACTCAATAGTTTTCAGCTCCGATTCCTTGTGAACTGGTCTACCATATTTTTTAGAGGGTAGTTCTTTGCCGTTTAATTTTATTTCAATTATAGCATTACACTTTAAATTGCAACATAAGTCGTTTAAATATAATTTGAGGAGCTCAATAACAGCGTCATGGTTACCATAAATTGAATTTTTTATCTTACACACATAANCCATTAATTGAATTTTTTATCATACACACATAGTCATCATTTTTTAAATAAAAGAACGTCACAAACTCATCAAGTATCTTTAACCATTTATTAATCAAAACTATCCTAATAGATTCATTTTGTTGTTTATTTACGTATAATAAATGTTTCCAAGTTAACCTTAACATAATGACTTTAAAAAAGCTAAAAACTGAATCGTAGTATATTTTAATATCTTTCAGATTATTGTCCTTCCAATTGAGATTATGTGCGTTTTCGTATTTTTCTTGTAAATTCTGCATAGTACCTTTATCATTATCTTCCCAATTAACTTGTACGTTGTATTCGTTCATTAAATAAATCGTTCTGTGTGCATTGTGTCCTATACTTTTAATAAGGATATTGTTTTTACTAAATATCTCGTAGCATAGGGGGAATAAATCTGTATTCTTCAAAAAATATCTGTTCATGATTTCTATATAATTCGTCATAAAGTTATGTATAACATACAAAGGCTGATTTTCTAATTGTTTTAATTCCTTTTCTTGTATATGGAATTCGTAGTTTTCTATGTTGCATTGTATTGTTGTAGACTCAGATTTTAATTCATTCATGACATAGTCGTGAGTATTTTTAAGATATGTGTGCTCTTGCTGAACTAAGTATCTCATTTTCTTTAATTCTTTTAATTTACGTACATGGTTGTTAGCAATACCTAAATAAAAGTATAATAACCATAAAGTACCTATTTCAACTTTTTTGATATCAAATAAAGTTTTCATCATTTTGTGCAAGACTCCAAAATATATTGATACTGGGTAATATGCATTAATTATTTTAAAATTCCAATGATTTATTTCTATTCTAGCTATTTTCATAAAGTTTAAAGCATTTAATAAATAAGAACATTTTAAAAGCTGAATATTTTCGATAGACTTTATTAGGTTATCTTTGTATCCTGTGTTAAGTGAATCACTATGGTTCACTTGTAATAAAAGTAACACTACAACTACTTTAATTACACAATTTGAATTATTACTTTTAATCGACATCTTAATGAAACAAAAGTTAACAGAATTTTTTAACTAAATTATAAGATTATCTTTAAAAATATGTAAAGTAGGGAAAACTACAGCATTTTAGGATTAAACATTTAATAAATTTTATTCATAATGTTATTTATAATGTTAGAATATAAACTTTTAAAAATTATTTCCATATTCTTTAAAAAATGTGTTTGACATTTATTATATGAACAACTGTTTAAAAATTATATGAGTGTTCAAACAAAAGTGTTTGTTTAATCATATTATCATATGAATATTGAAGTATACAATTCTGTGATATATTAAAAAATTCGTGTAGTAAGAAGTTCTTATGTGAACCACTATTTAAAAATTTATACTCAACTATAAATTTCAATTGTATGCAATAAAAATGAATACATTCGAATCAAAAAATTCAAAAAATAAAGAAGGAATTAGCACACTAGAATCTATTTATTTAAATTGTCATTTATTCTTAAAACCTATAAACTTAAGTTTATTTTACTACTTACTGTTAGGCATTTATCTAAGGAATTTAAAATTATTTAGTTGGAGTATATATATATGTATTTTTTTTTTTTTTTGAAAAAAGATAATGTGCATTATAAAAAGTGTCATATTCCTATTTTATTTAAATTTATAATACTTAATTTACATACCTAATACTAAGAAAATCACAATTTTTATTGTATGAACAACTGTTTAAAAAATATATGAGCATTAAAACAGATGTATAAAATTCCACCTATGACAAAAATAATTATTTGAAGTAGATTATTTTATTGGAGGAATGGTAAAAGAAATATCTTGTAAATGCACTTAATTAATTATTTAACACGTTTGTTTAATTTAAGTATATTGCATTATTTTTAATTTAAGATATATATAAAAGTGTCAGTATTTCCGGAACACTTTCAAAAATTAAGTTGAAAAAGCTTTATTTTCTAAATGCATTTTTATGTTTTGAATCCTCCCTGTATTAAGGTATATGATCCGATTTAAAAAAAACGTATGTCAAATGAAAGGACTATATAAATATTATTTCTCATAAAAAAATTGTATTGATCCATACATTTTTCAAAATGTTATGGCAGTTTAAGTAAAAAAAAAATTGAAAATATTTCGAAAATTAGCGATTTTTAAATTTATAATTTTTTTGGAGGTTTCCCCCATATACGGGGAACGAGGGAAATTTTTTTCAATTTTTGAAGGTAATGTCTTCAACTAGATACGGTTTGGAGAAAGCTGAGAAAAAGTGGTAACAGACACAAAAATAAAATACTTAATAGTAAAATTAATACCTTTTCAGCTTCGCATCGAAGCTAAAAGTCTTATAAACTTATTAACAGTATTATTTTATTACTCAATAAACACTGTCGTACATCGGTAGTACCCCGACGTAGACACAAAAAGTAGTACACAAATTAACAAATGTTTTTTGATGACGACTTCGTCGTTTTTAGCTCTTATCTAGTCCTCCCGTTCAATACNAGACACAAAAAGTAGTACACAAATTAACAAATGTTTTTTGATGACGACTTCGTCGTTTTTAGCTCTTATCTAGTCCTCCCGTTATTGAACTGGTCAGCCCCAATCCCTCAAATTTGTGAACTACTAAAGGGGTACAGTTTAGATCCATCATCACGGTCTAGCTCAAAAGTAGCAGACTGAAAGGTGGCTTCTTGTAAGGCACCAGCACAACTACCTCTTCACTATACCTACTAAAGAAGGTTAAGCCTAAAAACTATCCAGCATGCACACTAGTTATTAAGATCGTCTAAAGGCCAGCAGTCCAACTTCGACTCTTGCTGCACACACACACACACACACACACAATTTTAACAGTATGGTGGATATACAATATTTAAGCTAAGTGCAGGTTTTTAAATGGTATTTTATTTACGAGACGTAATAAGCACAAAGTCAAAATTTAATATAAAATGTAACATAAAATAAATTAAATCGTACAAACTACAAAGTTACTCGCATCAAATGTCCTAACTCGATGTTTCTTCGTCAAAACGTTCAGTCCCACTATACTTTTCATGTTTCCCTTGTATGTTCTTTTCCCCATCATTATTAATTTGCTTATCCTGCATTTCCCTTTTATACGACACTATTATATTGCTTGAGAATTCAAAAAATACTTACTACTGTTGTAAATTTTATATTATACTAAAATCGACGTTATTCAATACTTCATCAGCTATTTACTACAACACAAAGCTTTAATATTAATAAATGTACAAATATATGATTGAAATTTATTTCAATCCTAATATATGATGTTATTTTTTATTTCTAATACCAATTTTTTTGATTTCCGTGTAAAAATTATGCTGCATGAATTTTACTTCTATATTAGACGGTATATTTTATAATTGACATAAAACACAATTATAAATTTTAATTGTATAAAATGAAATTACATACAATTGAATGCAAAAATAAAAAAGGAACTAGCACACCAAAAAATAATAATGTAAATTTTCATTTATTCGTACAACCTTTATAGGTGTTCAAGTTTTATTTTTTTACAAACTTTATCTAAGTAACTTAAACATATTCCATTGTAGTAAATATATATTTTTGATAAAAGATGATATTGATTCTGAAGTATCATCTACCTACTTTATTTAAATTTATATTACTTAATTTATATCTGTAATAATATAAAAATATAATACAATTTTCATATTTAAAAAACAAAAAAAAATAACAGTATCACAGTATGGTGGCGGTATAGTGAGGCTTGGCATATTTGCAACAAGTATGCCAGATGATATCTGACAGTGATTAAATAGAAAATTCTTGATATATTTGAATTCAAATATATCTTGATTACTAGTTTTTTATTTATAAGTTTAGATAAAATATCATTGTCATCATTTTTATGTAACTATTTAAATTTAAAAAGATGCTGTAATCAAAATATTCCTATTTTAATTAATTTTTTATTTATCAATGATAGCCTTAAAAAATCTAAGTCAAAATGAAATTTAACAACACATCACAGGTAAAACTATGCTCAGTCTGACTAGACCTAAACTTAATCTAATATTGCAACAGGAAAAATGTCACAAAATTGTTTAACTTAAAAATAGTGTTGTTCCGGATAGATAACAGTTTGTACTAGTGTAAAAATTTCATATGAGCCAAATAATAATAATTATAATAATAAAGAAAATAATCCTAAATAAAAATAGATAGCGTTAAGTATTTCTTATCGATTTAAAATACAATAGATTAACTATTGTGTTTCGATTCGGTAAGGTCTCGTTGCAAATTATTATTGCGATTAGATAAGTTTAACTCGTGATTTCTTAGGGAAAAAATTGGCTTTATAAGAAATTAATAAATAACAAAATAAAATTATTTAATTGTACAATTCGATCCCATTATTATATCATATCTAATTCAAAAATATATACTTTAAAAACATTAGAATTTAATGATTTTAATTATTTTAATGGAAAAATAAATTATTTTCATTGAAGTTTTATGAACTCAATCTACTGTTACGTCGCAATTTAGGGGTGGGCCTAAATGCCCGTCGACAGTATTCTAAGGGACCAACGGGGGATAGCTGGCTAGGCTATATCTACCTTAGGTACTGAAGTTTCCTATTTAATTTATATTCCCTTAGAGGAACTACCAAGGGTCGCACTACAATATATATATATAACACCTTAGGTTAACAACGATATAAATAAATATTTATTAAGCAATTGATAATAAATAAAAATAGATAATACAACCTGCTGGACACCTAGAGATGATATAATCCAACAGGGAGCTGACGGCGACACACACACACACTATAATATACGGGGTAGCGAAGTTAAGTTAATTATCAGGCAAAAGTATTGATCGCGAAGATGGTAAAATGTCAACTATCGATAGGGATATCTTATTATGGCACATTGGCCGTGAATGACAAAAAGTGTTTATGTGTGCAGTCCGCCCTCCTGTTAGTATTGTTGTATGTCACTGTGTTAATTATATATATATATATGTCTATTAAACGGTACAACGATGTTATGGGAGACAGAGATATGGGCATATGCAAATGTGATCGTATCACTACATAAGATAAAAATCATACGATTTTGAAATTTTTTTTTTTTTACTCAATAAACATTAAGAAAAAATTGTATTGATCCATACATTTTTCAAAGAGTTATAGCGTTATGAAGTTAAACGTATGAAAAATAATGTTTTTAAAATAATCATATTTTTAATATTAACTTTGATGACTCTTTTCACCATGAAAACAAAATAAAGTCCGAAATTTTTTTTTTTTAATATTAAATTATATTACATAAGCTTTAATTTAAGATATATATAAAAGTGTCAGTATTTCCGGAACACTTTCAAAAGTTAAGTTGAAAAAGTTGTCATTTTGAATCCCCCTGTGGGCTGGTAAAAGGTTAAATTTATAAAAAACAAATACCAAAAGATAGGTAAAGACAACAAGCATCTATAAAAAAAAATTATATCAATTTGTTCATTTTTGAAAAAGTTATGGCAGTTTTAATTAAAAAAAATTGAAAAAACTTCGAAAATAAGCGATTTTTAAATTTGTAATTTTTTTGGAGGTTTCCCCAATTTACGGGGAACGAGGGCAATTTTTTCAATTTTTGAGGGTAATGTCTTCGACTAGATAAGATTTGTGATCTTTTGACGTATTGTTGAAAGAAATCGGTTCAGTGAGAGCTGAGAAAAAGTGGTAACAGACACAAAAAAAAAACACATAGTAAAATTAATACCTTCTCAGCTTCGCATCGAAGCTAAAAAAGACTATTTATGTCAAGAACCAGTTTATTGAATTTTGGTAGTCTTTAATATCCTATAAGCATATCGAATATCTATTACACGTGTACAATTAAGCAAGTTTCTCTGTATATAAAGAGACAATAATGGAAATATAAAATGAAAATACCTATGTTGTGAATCAATTATAATGGGTCAATAATTTTGGCGACATATTTGAACTACAGGTTGCCTATTGCTAATTGTGTCCCCCATGAATCTATGTAGTCTCATAGGTTTTTTATACATGCTAAAATTAAAGACAACATTTTTTTAGCTAATTATCTTGTATATAGTATTATTTTGTAAAATAAAAGTTTCAGTGCAATATGCNATATAGTATTATTTTGTAAAATAAAAGTTTCAGTGCAATAATTTCGAAAGTTCTATACAAATATTAAACGAAAGGGTCAAAATTAAAAAATGATTTGTATTTAGTATACTTCTATTTTAATATAATAATAATATATTTTTTGAAGTTTATTACATAAATCATGTTCACTTAGTTAAAAAAAATGTACTGGTTATATAAATAATTGAAATCCTTGGTGATAGTTGAGTAAATAAATGATTAATTTATTAATTTATTAGTACAAATAATTACATTAACAGACAAATTTCGTAAAGTTTAATTATTTTGTTTTACTATATTTCGCGTTCTTATAAAGCTTAACAAATTGTATTCTTATGCAAAAATCTTTACCTCTAAGTATAATCATAGTAAGTATAAAAAAAAAGTATTTCTTAAAATTAAGTCTATTTTTTATAAAAAAATAAAACATTTTCTAAGGAAATCTATTTAATAAAAGATTAGTTCTTGTCTTTATTAAACGTATAATGGGTTTAAAAATTGTTCACAATACATTAAATAAAAGTAAAGCATTATTCGGATTACTGAAAGGAACATGGACTTGTGTAAAAAAATTATCTTTGAAAAAATGTAAGTAATTAAAATTAAAACTAAAAGTTTGTAGCTTAATTCTTTAACGAACTTTAGCAACTAATAAAAAGAGCAGTGTATGGACATATAGCAAAAATCAATTACAGCAAACATATAAAAAGTGTTTCTGTTGTATCTGCATCAAACCTGATGCAAAACAATCAGACCACGAAAAAAGCCCTAAAGTTAATAGTAATAATAAACCCGAAATTAAGAAAACGATAAAAGAAGAGATAGTAAATTTGACGATTCCATCAAATCTTGATGAGCTTAAAGCACGTATATTATGGTTTTTAATATTATTATAAATACATTACCCGTTTAAAGTTGAATAAACAATACAATAGCTATATTTTGATAATAACATAATTGCGTTTCCCTAAAGAGAGTTTATAACGCAATCACCATTATAAGACTTTAACATCAATAATTTTTAAACTTATAAATCCACATTTTGAATTTTTTCTAATAAAGTTAATTATAATAATAAAATTAGATATATTCTTGGTCTATGGTATTCAACACTTTAAAATCTACCCTAAGTGTTGAAAAAGTTGTGGAAACTCCTCCGCAAAAGAACCAAGAACCAAAGAAACCACTGTTTAGTCTACCACCAAAAACTGAAGCTAAAAATGTTTCGCCAGGTAATAACAGTTTAACTTTTAAAATATGTATTTGGTAAAGAAAAATGTTCAATTATAGCCAATACTTTATAAATTATTTTTCAGTGTGCCGTGGTATTAAAAACCAAGGGGCAACTTGTTATTTAAATTCTTTCATCCAAGTCTTGTTCCATACGCCGGAGTTTCGTAACGAGTTGTTGGAACTGACATTCCCTAATAATTCCGGTGACGACAATTGGTTTAACGTAGTTTATCAACTTCAAAGGCTTTTTGTAGAACTACTTGGACCTGACACATCGGCGGTCAAGACTAATGGCTTAACAAAAAGTCTTGATTGGACTCAGAAGGACACAGATATCCAGCAAGACGTCCAAGAGTTTGGTCGTTATTTTTTGGGCATCTTGGACGAGAAGTTGCAACTTTCATCGTCCGCTAACATGATTAGTCATTTATTCAGTGGCAAGTATAATGTATTTACTATAAAAATGAACATGACTGTTTTTTTAGACTTGATTAGTATTTTATTAGTTCATCGTGTTTACTATTCATTATCATGTTTCAGGCATTCAGGTCGAATACCTTACTTGTACTATGTGCAATATAAGTAAAGAACAGTACTCCACATTTTTTGATATTTCTCTGCCTATTCGCTCTATTGATGGAAAGACATCATATGACTCGCTGGTAAATATATATAAACCGTAAAATTATATGTTTAATGTAGAAAAAGCAAAATTAAAGTTAAATTAATAAATTTGTTTTTTATATTAATATACTTGTCTAATAGGAATATGCAATAGAACAATATTTAAGACCTGAAATATTAGACGAACATTTTTGTGACATTTGTGGAAAAAAAAGCAAATTTCTAAAGGGACAAAAATTTAAAGAGCTCCCATATATTTTATGTTTTCATCTAGGTAGGACTACCTATAACATAAACAGTCTAAAACCTGTAAAAATAAATGACAAGTACGTAATGTTTATATAAACGTAAAAAAAACATTGTTATGAATTTTTGTATGAAATTTTTTTGTCAGAGTATCTTTTCCATTTATCATTTCAATGGATGTGGATGGCTATAATTCCATATTTGAATTATACGGAGTGATCATTCATAAAGGTGAAGCCACTTTTGGGCACTATTACTCATACATAAAAGATTTCAAGTCGGGACAATGGTTTGAATGTAATGATGATATTATTACTACCGTATGTATTTAGATTTTTGGAAAATACCACAATTATGAGACTATAACTATTACACAGATACCACCACATAAAATTGAAAGTACTTTTAGCGGAAAATCAAGCGCATATATGATAATGTATCGACTTTTTGATAGAAACAGAAATCGAGAAGCTTACACAATCGATGAACTCCCAGCGCATTTAAAGTAACAATATTTTTACTTATGCATCCATTTAATCATATCCGAGTAGTTTGTCATAAAAAAACAGAGTTCAACAATTTCACAGTAAAATGAATGAGAAAAGCCTTATTCTATAGAGTAATACCTTTATCATATAAATCAATAACTTCTGCCACAAAATCCTCCAGGAAATTAATGAATTTTGTTGGCTTTTCATAGTCATGGTATACACTCAACCTGTTGGAAAAACTACTGAATCAAATGGCTTATAATTATTATTGGAGGTAATACCTATTTTTAATTAAAGTAAAAAAAGTCGAGCTATCAATTGATTTGCATGATAATGAATACAATCCGTTTGTTTTATTTGAGCAGTATAGCCTTTCATATCTAATAAGGTATATACCATTTATATTTGAACACAAATATCCTAATTCTGTTGATAATTCAATAAAATTAATAAATAGAAAGTGCCTAAACAATTAGATAATTTTAAACAAGCATAGTCTACATTAATAAATTTAGGAAATCATTGAAACATCAAAAAAAATAAATAAATGGAAATTATACTTATACTAATACAATTAACGTAGAATATTAAATTTTATTAGATGATACTAAAAAAACTTTAGATGCTCTATTGGTGAATAAATTGAATGTTGATGGTACTGAATAAGTCTCATATTATAATGTAATTTGTGTTCCTTATTAGTTATTTGTTGAATTTCTTTGAGAAGAGCATGGCTTCAGTGGTATAAATTGGACATACAATACCTAATTTATTCAGGCATCTATATTTATTTCTATTCTAAATTAAAACAAAGAATAAAAATTTAATAAACATTTGTAAAATAATAATTAAAACAATTTACTATGTCATTTTTTAATAACTGTTGTAATTTAAACTTTTGTATGTAAATAAAACATTTATATTTAACTAATTATTTGTAGTTTATGTTTTACTCAGGTTAAACTTATCAAAGAATTAAATGTTGATTAACAAACTGTAGTAGTTTGTTAATCAATTGTAATTTTTTAGCATACTACATTGTAGTAATGTAGTATGCTAAAAAATTACAACACAGTTAATGTCATTACAATTAATAAATAAAATTTAATACCGATTGGTTTTAAAATTTCTCGATTTTGGGGTAATTAAGTTATACTTTGCTAACATTTTTTATACTAATTTTAATAGAAACAACCCCTAAAAAAATTAAACACATGTATAGAATTTATATTTGCTGCCTTATCTTTTCGTCATCTGAAAAATAAATATCCAATTTAAACTATATTCTTAAAAGGCATATTAATTATATTAATTACAAAAATAATTATGTTTACACATGGAGACTGAAAGAGTAATTACTATTTCAATTATCACGAAAAATATCGGAGGTAGTATTTAAATTAATTACACTACATAAACACGTCTACTTTAGCTTCGATTCTTAGTTGAGAAACTATTGGTTTTACTTTGCTATGTTTTATATTTCTTGTGTCACTATACACGATTGGTTCCACATCTACTCGACGATTTTGCTTGGAAATAAATCAAAAGAACACAAAACGTATCTGGTTGATGCTATCAGCAGCATAATTTAAATAAAATCCCCGTAATAAATGTAAATTTCTCAAAAAATTACAATTGCTATAAACAGTCGAAAAATGAAAAAAAACTATCCACAATCTCGATTTCTAGACGTTGAATCCAAAAGTTTTCGGTAAAAATTTTGTGGTATTTCGCATAACAATAAATCATCAATATATTTAAAACTAATTCAAATTATACTTCATTTAATGTATTAAGGATTCCAGAATCCAAACGATTGAGTTATTAAAATTTTAAAAAAAAGTTGTTAAGAACTTTTGTTTTCATTATTCTTTTCAGAAATCATATTTTATTAGGAAATTTTATTCCCTTCTTGATATATATGATTTATATGAAAATCATTTACACGATTTAATTTGCATATACGAGTAGAATAATAAAGTCGAAAACAAAGCGAAAAAAATAATTTATATATTATAATTTTCAGCTCCCTCTGCGTTACTCTGTAAACGAATTGTTTTGTGGGGGTATATTTCATTTATTATTATTGGTATATTATTTTCATAAAATATTGATGTATCCCACCTAGGATGAGACACGAAAACGTGTTGGGATCTCTGTCAACCCTCTTTGGCGATTGATGATCAATATTCTCTTACATGGAATCTGCGTCAGTATAAGTAAATATTTTGTCTCTGTGACTTAGTTCTTTTTTATATCATCGTAAGCGGTGAAAATTATTTTAAATGATTTATTAATATTTTACCCAAGAATAAGTTTTATTTATTTTTATTATTACCTAATATCTTCACAAGAAATAAATACAGTTTCTATTTTATATAAAGGTTTTAAATATTAGTGTGCTCTTCATTTTTGGACAGCCTCAAATGTGCCGCGAAGAAGAGTAATTTTATTTATAAAAGACCTTATACGTTACCTTATATTCATAATAAAGGTTATTGTGCCCTTAATTTATGAACAGCCTTAAATGTGCCAAACAAAGTGAAGAAGCGTAATATGTGATTAGAATTAACTAGTCTTAGTAGTAATATCCTCCGAGTGTTTACTCGCTAGCCATGAAGTCATGAAAACGTGAAGTCAGTTGACGTAAAGGATAGTTAAAGGTGTATTGAAGACATATTTAATATATATTAACGATGTTAGCTGTGTCCGCACCAGCTAAGGTTTTACGCTGAGAAATGCTGGGCCACCACAGTCTTGTGGATTATATTTTGAATAAAGATAGACATATTCCTATAGATATCTATGATTGAATTTTGTATGTAGAATATTCGAAACACTTTTTATTATTACTTTTTTGTTATAAACATAAGTTCAATAATGTACCCATATTTTTGTTGAATAAGTATTTTTCTGAAGCAAGATTCAAAAATATTTATATCTGTGTAAAAATATTACTAACTCATGGTATGCCGGTAATGACGTCTTAAAAGAATGCAGCACAATAATCTTCAACACAACAATTAATAATTACTAGTATAAAAACGGTAGCACAGTGAAGTCGCGGCTTAGTACGAACGTGGCATAATTGAGATAAGTATAGATGATATCTGACAGTGATTAAAATCACTATCATAAGAAAAGCTTCAATTAAAATCTGTAAATAAAGTTTAATTTAAAAAATGAGTAGATTATTTCAAGAGCAACAATAACTCTTATTCCCTTAATTTTATGCGATTAGTTATTTGATTTATAATTATAATATATGAATACATAATAATTATAGTATATAAATTTAGTATGAAATTGATATCCAATCATTTAAGATTGTAATTTTTACGGAGATATTATAAAAATAATAAAGTAGTTATATGTTTCTTTACTTTTAACGCGTATACAAATTTAAAAGGCTTGATGCAATATTTTCAATAAAAAATGTTTGTTACTTATAACAAAAGTATAAATTTTATACACTGGATTACGAAGAACTTTCATCAGAAACAAAGATATACTTTTCTAAATCAAATTTTCGCATTGTTTCATATGTGCAAATAGACATTTTCTATCACTTCTAAGTTTTAATCCTGATTATACTGTGTAATAAATAATGTATTACACACGAAATAAAATATATAGAAAAAATAAAAATCACATGTTATTTTCATTATTAGGTAGGCAATATATAAAAATTCTTTAATACTAATAATTAAAAAATAACAATAGCCATAATAATGTTAAATTAAACAACAACAAAAAAAGACTGAATTATTAAAAATAAAAGATATAACATATAAATTACTGCATTATACTTATATAAGATATCTATCTCAATATTTATTTAAAGGATTACTTAGAAATTAGAGTAAATTTATTTTGATTTAATTTAAAGTATTTTCTTTATTATCACGAGAGTTTATTTTTATTTAAAATACTTACACACTAAAAACCTACTTTTTATTTAAATTGGATAATTTTCCTTTAAACATAAGGCTTTCAAAACTTGAAAAAAAAAACGTATAAAATGTAGAACTTTTTCAACTTAACTTTTGAAAATGTTCTGGAAATAATACGTCCTTTAAACATATATCAAATTAAAGTTTATGTCATCTACTATGAAATGAAATAAACAATTTGTCCTGAAACATTATCTTCTATGAGTATATAGCCACCGAAATTAAAGAATTATATAAATAATGAAATTGATTCATGCATAATTTTAAAAGTTATAGCAACATAGTGTTAAAAAATGTAAAATATAATATCAAGAATTTTTTCACAAAAGTAGCATAATTTTGCATATGGAAGTCATTTTTACCAAAAGACAAGTCAATGGTAAATTTTTTTTTTCAAATTAAAATATATTACATAAGTTTAAATTTAAGGTATACATAAAAATGTCAGTCTTTCTGGAACATTTTCTAAATTTAAGTTGAAAAAATTAATTAATTGTGAAAAAGTTGCCATTTTGAAACCCTTCCTGTGATCTGGTAACGGGTCAAAAAAAGTATTATTTATTGGGTCATTTTTAAAAAAGTTATAGCAGTTTTTAGTAAAAAAAATTGAAAATATGTCGAAAATTAGCGATTTTAAAATTTATAATTTGTTGGGGGAATGCCACCGTTTACGGGAACGAGGAAATTAATTTCAATTTTTGAGGATAATGTCTTCGACTAAATACTATTTGTGATCTTTTAAAGAATTGTTCATCAAAATCGGTCTAGAGAAAACGGAGATTAAGCGTTCAAAGACTCAAAAAAAAAAATTAATAATTAATAAAATGAGTACCTTCTTAGCTTCACATTTATGCTAAAAAAAGGTTAACAAATTATGAATATTTTATAAAACTGTATAAAAATAATTCCAGTCACAACCAAGTATATTTTCAACTTTATTATATGTTACTAAAAATACCAAGAACAAAATTATATTGTTGAATATCAATTAAAAAAGTTTATATAAAGACATTAATTTTAATAACTACTGCATTTCTACATAACATTTTCATGTATTGCAAAGTAGAGCATTAAGAAATAATTCAATGGTACTTAAATAATTAAATTTTTTAGTAATGAAATTATTATTATTAAGAAAATAAATAATCAACTATTTTCTCAGATTGAAAAAATAACAGATTTTTTTCCGCATAATCATAATCAATATAGCATTACACTTTAAATCGCAACATAAGTCGTTTAAATATGATTTGAGGAGCTCAATAACAGCATCATGATTAACATTAATTGCATTTTTTATCTTACATACATAATCGTTATCTTTTAAACGAAAACACTTTATAAACTCATCAAGTATCTTTAACCATTTATTAATCAATTCTATCTTAATAAATTTATTTTGTTGTTATTGTACGTATAATAAATGTTTCCAAGTTAGCCTTAACATAATGACTTTAAAAAAGCTAAAAACTGAATCGTAGTATATTTTAATATTTATCAAATTATTGTCCTTCCAATTGAGATTATGTGCCTTTTCGTATTTTTCTACGTTGTATTCATTCATTAAATAAATAGTTCTGCTTGCTTTGTATCCTATATTTCTAATAAGGATATTGTTTTTACTAAACACCTCGTAGTTATTGAAGGATAATTCACTATTATTCAATATAAATCTGTCTATAATTTCTATAATTCTAGTCATTATGTTACGTATAACATTTAAAGGCTGGTTTTCTAATTGTTTTAATACGTTTTCTTGTATAATCAGACATTTGTTGTTTTCAGTGTTACATTTCATTTCTGAAACCTCTGATTCTAACTCAACTATGACATAGTCATGAGTATTTTTTAGATATGTTTGTTCATATTCAACAGAGCAACCCATTTTCTTTAATTTTTTTAATTTATGTACATGATGACTAACAATACTTAAATAAATGTTTAATAAGCATAGAGAACCTATTTCAATGCCTTTAAAATTAAATAATATTTCTATCATTTTTTTCAGAAGACTGGTATATTTTGACATCGAGTAAAATACATTAATGAATTTAAAATTCGGATGACATATTTCTATTCTAGCAATTTGCATATAGTTCAAAGCATTTAATAAGTAAGAGCATTTTAAAAGCTGAATATTTTCGACAGACTTTATTTGGTTCTCCATTTATCCAGTGTTAAGTGAATCAGCACGATTAACTTGTATTAAAAATAACACAACACTCACTTTTATTATACATTTTAAATTATCACATTGAGTCAACATCATAATGAAACAAAGATACGTAAAATTTTTAATATTAATAATAAGACTACATTAAGAACTGTATAAATGATTGAAAACTACAACTTTTTAAAATGTTATTAATTATTTATATGTTCGAATAAAAAATATAAAATTTATTTTCATTTATTTTAAAAAATGAGTTTGAAATTTATTATATGAACAACTGTTTAAAAAATATATGAGCGTTCAAACAGAGGTGTAAGATATATAGTCCCACCAATAACAAAAATAATTATTAGGGTAGACTGAGATATAGGAGGAATGGTAAAAGAAATTCCTTGTAATATACACATAATCAATTATTTAATCCGTTTGTTTAATTTAATTGTATTAATTATATATTTATTAAAGAATATTATAATACTCTGTTATTTTAACAAATTCATTCGGTAAAAAATGTTTACCGAATAAATAATATTAATCTTTTATTGTTTAATGATCACAAACGTTTTAAAGTTAAAGAATGTACAAATTTACGATTTTAATAAATGATTTAAATGTTTTATTTACATTACTAGATTTATTTTTATGCGGTGAATTTATGCTTTACTATTTTTATGTGTTATTCTGTATATTTTCAAAATTGACAGAAAAAACATACTTACACATAGTTATAAATTTGAATTATATTAATAAATTAATAAATTTGTATAAAATAAATTTACATTTTTGTATAAAAAAAAAGGGGACTAATACATTAAAAACTAAATATGTATTATCATTTATTCAAACAAACTATAAACCTAAATTTATTTTATTACTTAATTCTTTGAATAATCTAAAAATCTTATAATTATTTAGTTGGGCATTTATTCTCATTAATATGTTAAAAGAGCACAAATAGTATCTAGTTGAAGACATTACCCTCAAAAATTGAAAATTTTACAATCATTCCTCGTAAATGGTGAAAATCCGCTCAAATATTACAAATTTTAAAATTGGTAAATTTCTTTTTCTAAAAATTGTCATACCTTATTGAAAAATGGACAAATCAAAATAATTCATTCATGTTAAAACCTAAGATATTTTCCACTTTATTAAAAATCTGAACCTTTAGGGCCCAGAGCAGTTGATTTAAAATAGCAAATACTGTATAAATTTTAATTTTCCAACTTAAGTTCACTTCTTAAATATTGTATGTGGTTGTCGTAGTTAAAAAAACATGTAATTTTAATGTTAACATATACTTTTTCATATTTTATTTTTTCAACTCTAAATTACTATGACTTTTTGAAAAAATTATGGATCATTACAATTTTTATTCATAAATACTTTATGTTTATTTATTTTATTTGACATACTTTTTTTAAAAATAGGACCAGTTTTCCTTTGTACAGGGGAAGTTTAAATATAGAAAAAACTAGTACATTTTCAAATTAACTTTTTAAAATTTTATGAAAATACTTCGAACTTTTAATATATAACAAATCAAAACTTATAACAAATACTTTAAGATCATAAAAATGAAATTTGTCCCAAAACAGTAGGGTGAAAATGGGAATTCTGGTCTCCTTCATCGCTTCGCCCGCCTTTAAAAAAGACAATGAATAAAGTTGGTCATGGGCCCTTGTGTCCTTTATAAATGACACATTTAACGACCGACAGTGATATACGTCAACCTAAAAAACAACAGCATTCCTAATAATACTGCAGCAAATTATTCATATAGAGCGTTCGTTTTATTATTATTAATAATCCCGCTTCAAGAACGACAAATACCTCTTTACGATTTCCTGAAATACATAAAGGGTTTTAATTTTAGATACAAAAAATATGAAGAAATTAGCTAAAAATTATGTCATTTTTTAACTGATTTCATAGCATAAAATTAAAAAAATAGTAATTGGTTTATAAAAAATAGATATTATTTTCAATTACTATGATACAATAATAGTTTATTTTCTATGAAAATTTCAGTCTAAAAATTCATTATTTAATTATATTGCTTTAGTACAACTTAAAGAGTAATTATTAGTGTTTTTATGTCTATAAAATATTTACCGATTTTTAAATTTGTAATATTTGAACGAATTTTCACCATTTACGAGGAATAATGGTAAAATTTTTAATTTTTGAGGGTAATGTCTTCAATTAGTTACGATTTTTGTTCTTTTGACAAATTGTTGAGAATAAATGCCAAACTAAATAATTATAAGATTTTTAGATTAATTCAAAGAATTAAGTAATAAAATAAATTTAGGTTTATAGGTTGTTTGAATAA